TTCGCATAGTAGCCGCGACAGATGATATCTTCGAAAATCTCGATTTGCGGAGGCGTGCCCAGATAGCTTCCGAAATCAAGTGCAAGCAGCAGGATTGCTCCTAGGACCATCACACGCCATTGCTTGGGAGTCCATGATGACAAGGCCGACGGAGATGAGCTGTCTCCGTCCTGTTGCGACGCATCCAGTAGAGGCGTTCTTTCGTTTTGGGTTTCGTCAGCGGGGCACGGCGAAGAAACCATCTTGTCATGGAGTGGCCCCGGTTCATTAGTTTGTCGATAATGCTGCGAAAGATATGGACCTGGTATCCACAACCCAAGAGAGCAAACGACCTCGTAAACCTTTTTTTATTCGCTTAGGCTTCTCCCTCCATGTCGCCTGTGAATAGGAAGAAGGGTGATACTTGTGAGAGAAGAACTTGCAAGACTTGCAAGACTGTAGAGAGCTGAAACTGCAGGAATGCTGCTAGACGGGGCGCAGCGGCAGCGTCAAGAAGGCACGCGATAACGCGATAAGACAGCATCAATTCAGCCCCGCTCCCTGAAAGACCAATATGTCGACAATTCGAGTCTCGACATTGTTAATTTAAGTTCTGACCAAGGCTCATCTCACCGCTGCTTTAGTCAATCCCTACTGCATAGAGTAAGGTAGTACGATTCCCTCGACTTAACAGTTAGGCAGGTTGGGCTTCCACGTTTCTTATCCGCCTATCGGGTCCATTCCATCACGCCTGCTAAAATAGCCTGAATAACCACCACGCAGCGATTGCAGTTGGAGTTCGTTACTCTTTCAATATAAACAGCAATGATAAAACATGTTACCATCATTGTCGGAATAATCATGACGACACACCTCTAAAAAACGGAATTCAGATTGGGGGCCGAAACATATCTACACGTGACAGCGGGGGGAAGGGGTGAGGAAAGGGAATATGACTGTCTTCTTCTCCCAGACTCAGACTGTTGAGCTTGAATTTGAGATTTGGGGCTTCATCGGCAACAAACACGCTGCCTCGCTCACAAGAAGAAGATGTCATCACTGGCTGGGGAAGGAAGGTGAATGAAGGGCATCGAGAACTGATTTGAGAATTGATGGAGCAAGGAGCGAACAGAGCAGATAAGAAGCGTGTCTGAATTCCGAGTTACATGGGATATTCTTTTTGCATGATAGGAATGGATTTCGTTTCGACCATGTCTGGTCCTCAGGTCTTCAAATTGGAAAGCAAAAATTCCGTTGGTCTTCCACAATGCCACTTTAATTCCAGTTCATTAGGCGGAACCTAAAGATTATAGTCCATCATTATCATCGTTCGTCATCACAACCATCAGAACTTATTTGCAGTATCGACGATTAAAAGGCTATTGGAGACAGGTTTGGATGATCTAGAAGTGAAAATCTAGAAGTGGAAAGGGAAAAAAAAGGTTGCGTGACGTTGGTACCTGAGGGAGTAAATACCTGTTCTTCGATGTGGGGATCATTGATTATGTAATAGTATCGCCGTATGATTGGTGGCTGGTGAGACGTCGAAGATGATTGGCCACAGGCTTCGATCATGCAGATTCAATAATGGATTCAATAATGAGAACTCCTAGGTAAGGGACGCCAGCTAATAATTAACATTAATTGATTGATTATCAATTATTGCAGGTGAGACATTGGCATCTGGAAGACTTCACGAGAAACAAATGGATCAAAAGGAAATTTTGGATGTCGATGGCCTTGTGCCTTGATTCCGTCTGCGATCGATGGCAACCAGCTAGCTGTTTTTGCCCTGGCCCATCTACCGACGATGTAATAACTGTAAATTAACTAGCACATACGTGTGCAGAACAGACTGACTGGCAAACGTTGGTGGTAGTACATGCTGGTCAAAAGAAATAAAAAAGTAACAATACAAAAAACACCAATTACCTACCCACCAGTGTCCATTGCCGGTGTCCAAAAGGCGGGAAAAAAAAGTGACAGATCCAAAAAGGTAAAAAGTAACAACCAAACGGCCAAAAACAAGAGAACAATTATTCCACACAAAGATATTTTTTTCTCAGGAACTTTTTTTTGCTTGGTGTTGTACAATTATGCCGTGAGGCGCGGACGAGGGTCTGGTTTGCCCTGCATGTCTGTACCGTCTAACAGAGATATAGGAAAATAAGAAAAGGAAAAAAGGTAAAGAAAAAGTCAGGTCCCTCTGAGTGGTATCAATGCCGTCTGGCGTCCCCGTACTGATCCTAAGACTCCGCGTTCCCGTCCTTGTTTTCAGTAGGGATGGGATCATCCAGTGTTGACCCGTAGATGGGCCGACCATCGGGGGTCAGCTGGCCACGGAAGTCTGGATCATAGTCTGGGCTGGTTTCATCCAGCGTCGCCACGTAGCGATTGCGACCACCTCTCTTGCTGTGCGTCTTCGTGTAGTGTGCATTGAGGTTGTCGCTCCGGGAAAAGGCTCGGTGGCAACCAGGGACCCAGCAAACATGTGGCTTTTCCTTCGAGTGGCTCTTCATATGTCGCTTCAGGTGTTCTTGTCTCTTGAATCGTCCTTTGCAACCCGGCTCTTTGCAGCGGAACTGGACTTGCTTGATGATGGAGGGAAGGTTCTCGAGTTTGAGGCTCTGCTTGGAGGTTTGCTTCTTCGTCGTCTTCTTTGAAGCCTGGCGCTGGGGTCTGTTCTCCAGGCTTTCTTGCGCCCCCGGGGACAGCATAAAGTCCTCGTCGTTGTGATCACTGTTCCCAGACACTCGGGTCATCGGTGTCTCCGTTCCAGGTGTCCCCAGGGGACTCGACCGAGCTGGAGTAGCGGGAGTATGGGTTCTCAGTGTGCTGGCTGATCCGGGGAATCCTGAAAATGACGACGGTGGTGTCATGGGCGCATCTGGGAACGCCTGGGCCGGGGCGATCGTCTGAGGCGAGATGACTTCAGCCGACGGCATCCACTGCGACATATTGCTCATGGACATGGAGGTTTGGAGGCGCTCCTGCTGTTGGAAGATGGGGCGAGACAAGCAGGGGTTGGAGATTGATTCGGGAAGGTAGGCATTCTGGCCATTGCGATAGCAGTTTCGAACCATTTGAGGGTATTGTGCCATCGGAGGCTGGTAAGCGAAGCTATTGCCGTGATCATAGCTCTTTGGCATGTCCGTGGGAATCCAGAACTGCTCCGCGCTGTCTGTATAGCCAGGAACGTAGTCAAAGAGAGGCACTCGGTCATTGCCTTCCATGTTCCCGTAATGCATTGCCATTCCGTCACCAGTGATGTCTGCCATTCTGAAGCTGCTCTTCAGAGGCGTCGAGGTCCTCGATGCCTCCATCCCATGGCCAGAGAAGCCAGATCCTTCAGGCCAGCCTGGAGAGGTAAGAGACCCTTGACTGTACAAGGAGATCGGCGTTGGAGTTGGTGAATCCATGGGAGAGAAGCTCGAGGCCATCGATGGACACTCACTGGAGCCCAAGGAGGGACAGTCGACATCGATGGTCAGTCTGTCGGACATGTTGTACTCAGACTTCAGGTCTTCAGTGTCTTCCGTGTCGTAGTCACTTTGTTGGAGGGCGGGATCAATAATGATCTCGCTTGCTGCACACAGAGAGGTCGAAGATTAGAATCGTCTTTCCCAGAAACCTGCCCAGGGGAAAAACGAAAGGGAAATTTTGTGAGAGAGAGGGAGGGAGAGAAAGAGAAAGAGAGAAAGAGAGAAAAGGAAGGGAGGGGAGAAAAGGAAGGGAGGGAAAGAGAAGGAAGGGAAATCTAATCACAGGAACCTTTCTCGTGCTGAAGGAGTGAACGTGGGTGGGAGAGATTATGTCCTGTCAATAGATGGATGTGATAAAGAATGTTGTGTGGGTGGGAAGGAGCAGAAGCTCAGGAACGAGGGCGGCGGCGAGGTCAAATATCAAATTCCTCCCAATGGAGTTGAGGTTAAATGGAGGGGATGATCCCACTTACCATCGTACGCCATTGCTTCGTGGGATGAAAAGCTAAAAGAAGAAAGAACGCGACGCGTGCCTGCGATGCAAAAGCAAGCCCTGGAATGTGGACTATGGCTTCCTTGGTAACCACCACGACGGTACCACCAACCGCCCTACCTCAAGGAGGATGGTCCGATTTCCCCCTCAAAAGGGCTGGATTTCTCACGAGGGGATCGTCCGGGAAGCAAAGATGGTAATAGTCCAAATGCTCGTGTGCAGGAACCGCCCTTAGACGCGCGCTCCAAATTGGGAGAGAGGCAGTTGGGATATTGAAGACCAGAGGCAGCAAGGGGACGGATGGGAGAGGTTGCCCAAGGACTCGAAAGAGAGAATTGTCTTACTGCCCCCGTTGGAAGGAGGGGTGGATTCGGTTTATAGGTTTCCTGCGTTGTCCTTATACTTTTCTGGGAGCTCGCCTTGCAGTTGCGGCTCTCCAGTCTTTGCCGAGAAGGTTTCCAGGTGTTTGCTCCTGCTATCCCTCACTTGTTTTGTCTTTGGGGGAGGCAAACTGGAGAGTATTGCCCGAGGTGGATCGTGATTGATGCCGGTAATCGCTAGACCGTTGGCAACTCCATCGATAGCACTGCAGGTGTCCCAATTGGGATCGGACTATCCGCTAAAGCAGATTTGGTGAAGAAGATGCTTATCCTTCCAGGAATGGGGGTTGGAATGCTTGGGCGACAATAATGATTGATGCGGCTCACTGACCCCAACATCCCGGAACCTCCAAGCTCCTTGGTCAGATGTGCGTTTGGACATCGCTCGCTCTGGAGAATATGATCGGATCCCTACAGCAGTATGCGTCCCGGATCGACGCTGGGACCTGCGTACGGGCCACCCGAGCAGGGCTCAGGTCGATCGACGCCATCACTGCGTCTTGGGTGTGGAGAAAGATCTGTAGGGCTCCTACGGTCCGCCACCACAGGCCATCCTGAGGCCCTGCCCAGGCACCACTGAGCGCCACAGAGGATATGATCAATGGTCTCTTCCGACTGTCCGCCACCATCTAGACTGCCCGCGAGCAAGAGTGGGACAGGATGCGTCTGAAGCCTTGGATAGAACCGGCCCAGATCTGTCCAAGGTCCAGTGGCAGCGGTTTTCGACAACACTCGCGCTGGTCATGCTGCCAAGACTCGCGAAGATTCTCAAGCACAGCACGTAGGTCGCATCTGGAGGGTTTATTCAGGACACTCATAGGCCAGGAAGCCCAATACGACTGACTTTGGGCCCTCTGACCGATGCGAGCTTGCTCACTTCGCACACCCTCCACCCATATCTGAAGTGAAGTGGGAGTGGGTCACAATGACAAGGACTCCGTCTGGAACAAACCAAACTTGCTCACAATGGGTGGTCTGTGCAAACCCAGTCCCTCGACGTCTATGATCCACAGACGGTGGCTGCCGGCGGCCGTGTGGATCGCCGCGGGGCAGCTCAAGCCATCCAGCGGCGAGAGGAGGCCGGTGATCTCACTGATCTGGGAGAGAGGGAGGTGAGCTCCAAGCAATGCAGGACGGCGGTCGCACGTTACCAGGGAATGAGAGGCGATTCTGCAGCTCGTCGGGGCAGCAAGCGCCGCATATGCTCGGTGACTGCCACTCCGGCCGCCATCTGAGGGCAGAGAGCTCTGTTTGTCGGACCCGGAGCGGTGGATGGGCAGTGAAGTCGCCGCGATGGCCGTGAGGCTGGTGTGGGGAGATGGCGCGGCGATCACATCACGGGCGCACAGCCAGTCGTCGCGTCTTGGCCAGAGCTCCCGCAGCCTCTGCAGCCGGCCTCATGAGATGGGCCAACCAAACGATCCCCAACGCACCGTGGCTGTCCAGGAACAGGAACAGGAACGCTTCTGACCTCACCTCCAGCTTGCAAACGTGAGCGCTGCCGAACAATGCTATTGAGCCCCGGCATCCTCCGGAATGTGGAACGGCTGGCTCGAGGCCTCAGTCCCCGAGTCCCTCCAGATCTTGCGATGCTACCACCGCTGCCTCGCCCTGATCGGATGGTGCCGGTGCCTATGCAGCTTTCATCACTCTAATACTTCAACTCCACGATGCTGCAATGCAGATGCAGCCCGCTGGTTGCGGTGATGCCGGTTGCTGAGGTTGGTGACGACACTGCCGCGGCGTTTCCGGTCCATCGGAAATCCCCAACTGCCCTGAATCACCAGCACACCGTTGATGACAAATACGATTCTAAATCTGGATACAGTGAACCCGTCTGAATTGCTGTCTCCATTCTTTGTTTCTAACGGTGGAAAGTCCACTCTGGTATCTGCGGTCGTATTCGGTCCGGGAGCAGTGGGAATCGGGAATCCAACCCAACGGTTTAGCTCCATCTTGCTTTCTGATCTATCATCTCGCAGTCTAATATTTGGGCAATCGCTGCCCCCGACGCCACACGTTCAAGAATGAACAGCCACAGATTCTTCGCTGCTGCCGGCTATCATTGGGTCGCTGCTGCCTTACTCAGCAACGTCCAGCTGCGCCATCTCTGCATCTGAGCCCACCTGCTCGCCTGTGCATACGTCGAATGTCATGTCATATTGTGTCCGTTTTATCCATGCCATTGGGGACCGCAGACGCGGAGCTCGAATCGGGTAGGAGCATACGGTGGAAACACTGACCTTCAAGCGTCTGCGGAACACGGCTCTGTATTCCGGACATTCTCGCGCTCTGGCGTCTCGGTGATTTGTGCATACAGAAACATGCCATTTGACTCTTTCGGGGCAATTCAATGAGGTCATCTCGCGGTGATAGCACGACCTGGGAACACCCTAATTGCAGAAGCGCACGTTGAGCTCGGCTGCGTGCGAATGTGGTTCATCACCAAGACAGTATTTCACCTCGTTTTTGTTGTCGCTATCCGTCCGAGATCCTCTTTCTTGCTCTGGAGAGATGGCTATCTCTTTCTTGGTGGGATATCACGATCACTTCCTGGTCGTCCAAATAAAACGCAAGAATCTATCTCACATTCCAGTGAAGCAAGCGTCAAGACGAGAAGACGGGTCCGCATTAGCCGTACCAATCACTCTTCCCATCTATTCCCATGCACAGTTCCTTCCGCTGTCTAAGCTGCAACAGTTGATTGGGCGCTGTCACTTGTCTTGATGCCATTAAAGCAGTGGGTAGTGGATACCGCATCGGCTGCCGATTCTCATCTTCCGGGCCCAATTTTCACCCCACAAGAGCTTCCTGACCAATTCTGATTGGGCCTAGACAAGCTATTTCATACTTGTTTAAATGTGAGCACCAAGCCCTAAAGCTCCAGACGCTCGATTGATCGTTCTGGAGATATTCTGCGCGGTTTGGTGTGGAAGATTGCCTATGATTCTGGACCGAGAGAGGGTCAAGACTTCAAACACCAAACCCGACGAAAGACAACTTCTGCTACGTATATCTGATTCCAATCGTTGTGCAACTGTGCCTAAAAAAAAAAATCTCCGTGGCGTCACTGTGGAGAGGTGACTAGTCGGGAAATGACTCGACAATCGGGTTCGCAGAATTATTATTGCTTTTTGTAGATCCGTTGTTTCAAAATGGCGATCTTTGTTATGAGCTGCATGGCCCTAAGCGGTTTTGGTATCCCAGCTCCTTCCGGAGTTTTGCCAATAATAATCTTTCTAATCTTGGATGCCATCAATGATTGGCGAGCATACTATGCCTATAGTTCTGTTGCAGCAGACTATAACTACAGTATTAACGACTCTTCCTCCTTATCGTCCTTATTATTATCCTTATTTCGATTATCGTTCTATCGCTCTCCTGTCGGCGTCCACTCGCAGTCTCCGATTTCACGTCCCCGAAATTCCCCACGCGCGGGAAGACTAGACGGAAGAAGCTAACAACAGCTAAACTAGAATCACGCTGCCAGGCGAGCTACGGGTCCGTATTACAAACAAAAAGTACCTGTCTCGGCCTCCCTGGGTTCTCGAAATCCTCTGAATCTGAAACACGGAACTTGGAAGTGACAGCTCATCTTTGGAGATGGAGAACTGGAATTCTCCGAACCTTATCTGGGGTGACACAGTGCGCAGGGCCATTTAGCCTGTATTCTCACGGTGACCAGCATTGCTGACTGACCCTCAGGAGGGAGGGGTAGCTTCACACCTCTATCTGGCAACACACCCCGCAACCAGAGCACAATCGAATTCAGACTGTTTGCTGCCTGCTGTCCGAGTTGGCCACACGGGGCAGTGTGCCGCAAGGGATGGTGGCCGCCTCCGTCGGGCCCTGCGTTGCGGAGAGATTGCCAAGACAATATATTCCAGTCTGGACTCTGGCTTCGGCAATTTGCAAACGTTCCCAGGTCTCTTGCTGGCGTTTCTTGCCCATTGGACGCGAGTAATCAACCGCTCTCCTTTCTTGGCCAGTCACTCAGCCCTGTCGCAACAAGACTATTGATTCCAAATCAGAGGAGCCCTGTCTCGGGAGTGAAGATCAGATCCTTTGTCAGATCTGATCGTGCTATTGTTTCAGGTTTCGGATGCTCCGGCCATCTTCGCACGAAGAGATCCCCAGATTTCCATGTCTGTCTCGAGGGATTGTCCCCTTCAGCCGTCACCTTGCACCACAACAAGGACTTTACGTGTCGTGGAGAAGATACTGGACGCGTTCGCGACGTGAACCTCCAGAATTATCGACGACGTGTACCTGGATCGCGTTCAAGGAGTTCCAATGTCCATCTATACTTTCAGTTGGGTTGAAGTCGACCAGCCAGGGACAGTCCTGATGCTGCTTCCTTGCTCAGATGTCCGTTGAAACTGATGGACGCGCATTTACGAGGGATGACCAGACGATACGGAATAATGTCAATCCCTTTGGAAGGGCCGTGGAAAGTGAGTTCAACCCAGATCAGCCTTCTGGCCATCGCTGACCTACAGACTGGCTCCAGTTCTCATCGAATGGCTAGTGACTTCACTCCTAGATATGGAGTCGAGCTTGAACGACTTCGTACTTAGGAATGACGCTTCTGGATCCGATCAGATACTCGATTATCTCTAAGCTTTAAGTTGACAAATTCTCCCCCTCCGTCATTTCAGTTGATACCCCACTAAATGGATGAATAGACTGTTATCTGCTACGTGATCAACTCGGATATTCTGTATATGTGGCGTTGGCCATTTCGTGCCTGACAGAATCAGGTGATGAGAGGATACAATTGGGAGGTCTGACCTGAGGCGCCTTGAAAGCTTGGAGCTAATCTGAACGGACCTCGACAATCTCAGGGCCCAGACATGAATTGGGGAAGAGAGCAAGCTCTGACACTGCGGCACTATTTTATGGCATGCAGCTGAGCTGCAGGTACCATGTCCGGTCCACGAGAAGCTAGTCATCGCCTCAGGTTCTGCGGAGGCGTCGTTCCATCCTGGACCCTCTTAGGGTTGCTACGAAATGGCTACCGTAGGCAGCAGCCTGCAAGACTCGACTCTACTAACCATGAAAAGGAAGAAGCGTGCGGGGAAATTGAATTCACTAACTCGTATATCGATCTCGATGAGAATTTTGAGTGGTAGCGGTTAGATAATAGCGTCCACAGACCATCCTTTATTGATCCCCCTTGCTTCGACGAAGCGCCATGTCAACTCACTCGCACCCAACCCAGTAGTTTCTTGGACGTTGGTTAAGTTAACCGTGCAGGCATGCTGCCAAGGCACAGCAGGGAAAAAAATTCCATAAATGCAGAAATGATCGAGCTTATTCACACGCTATTCTGTTATCATATCATATCATTCGGCGATTTTTGTTTTCTCCCTATCAGTAATAGTCCGTCCGACATGAAAACTCTGCTCATAAAACTCTCTTTCCCCGGATAAATTAAAGTTAATGATCAATCAAGCTCATATGATGAAGGCAATAGTTTCAATTTATGCTTTTTATTTACGCCTGCCCCCCCAAAAAAAACTATCGTCAAAAATCTCGGCCTTTTTCGGTCGATATTCGCAATCGCTATCGATCGATCGAATCGATAAAAGTATCGGCTTCCGCTCGCATATCGTATCGTATCACATCATATCATATCGTATCATATCGTATCATATCAATAATAGACCTTGTGACCTCGTTCACTTAGTTCATCATTTCCATTTTCAGTACGAGGTTCCTACCTTATCCAGCTCAGTACAGTAAATGTATGCATGTACCTACATTAGGTAGGTAGATAGGTACCTGTACCTCCTCGGTGGAATATGGGTATAGTCCGTCATCAGACGACGTCACTCTGTTAAGCAGACACCAGATGAAGAACTTCGGTAGGTATGTATGTACAGACCTTAGGTATATGAAAACAATATCGAATTCAGGTTGGTATATAGTCATTCCTATTATGATAACCACCACGACGACCACAACTAAATCGGCAAAATTCATCTTCCTTGACCTGCAGAAAGATGAAACCATTAACTAGTCAGGTGCCTATCTACTTAGGTCCTGGTACTTGCAGGATCTGTCTGACTCGCTGCGCAGTTCCGGCGAGCGTATTGCTACTCAGTTGCGCATACCTATATATCAGGTAGTACAACGACACGACTAACCTAATTGAAGCCCAGCTGTACAACATTTGCCGCCGCTGAGTCGCGGCTTCGCTTCCTAAATGAGCAATCGGTAGCTCCTACCTAGTAACTACGGTTATCAAACAAGCAGCCCTAGCGCTAAGTACGGCACACAAGCTACTAACTACCTAGGTAGGTACCTAAGCTAAGGTAGTCATTGGCACACTACGGAGTACTTTAGGCACATACACTGAGTCCACATAGCGCGAATAGGCTAGACAGTAGATACAGATCCTATAGTACCATCTCGGGTATGCACGCCAGATCGATCATCACGCACTAGACAGATGTATGCACATGTACGTACCTACTATCTAAATAAGTATAAGGGCCTTAGTCGTAGTTAGCTAGGATAGTGCGATGCGCTGCGCTGGCTGTGGCGAGCTGAATGAAGGTTGAGCAGTAGCCTGACTCTGTCACTCTGGTAATAATAATGGTCGGCCACTATTATTATAGATCGAGGCTATTATAATTAGCTTGAAGTTTTAAGGTACGTAGGTAGGTAGGTAGGTAGGCAAATCCATCCACCTATCTATCTATCTCGAGTGTGCAGTACCTTTGACGCCAACTACCTGACTAGGTAGGTACATAGGTACCTAATCTGTATACCCTAAGTAATAAAATAATACCTATACGCCCGAGAGTACTCGGCATCTTTTCGGCTTCAGTTCGGGCTCCGACTCAAAATCCGATGATATCATAAATATCGGAACATCTCATATCGTATCATATTCATTATATCGTCCGTATCACATCACAAGCGAAACTCAGTCCTGAGGATGATATAACATAAAACGAAGCGTACTCGAGTCTATTATTGGTTTCTTACTTGGGCAGTTTGACGGTTTCCTATATTAGATCAGATGAGATCAGATCACGACCTAAAACAATTAGCTAGGTACCTAAGTAGCTTGACTTGAGACCCTGAAAAAAAAATAAGCTCTATGTACTAATGCAGCTAGCGAATGAATAAGTGAATTGAGCCAGGTAGCACGAATCAAGAAACGAGAGAGTAATAATATTCACCCAGTTCATGTATACCTATCTAAGTGGGGAAATGAGTTCTGACCTGAGTAAGATACCTATACGTCCGTTAGGTACCTACCTAAGTAGTAAGTACAGTACGGAGTACTTTTCCTACGAATACCAACAGAGGCCCAAGAGCACGGATGGAGTACTCTGTACTGTACAGTACCTACCTACGTAGGCAGATTACAAGATCCATACAACAAATGGACGATCATCATCACCACTGATCATCCAATCAATCCATCCATTCACCTTATTCGTCAGATAAAAATACCGTGTACCTATCACACGGATTATAATTATATTCTTCACACTAGACGGAGTACCTTAGTAGGTACCTAACCTAAGCTTTTTCTTTTTTGGTTCTTCCGTTAAGAACTTAAAGTTCCTACCTAAGCTAACCTATGCGCAACGACTAAAACCGAAGTCCACCTGTAGAATTAATGTCTAAACGTACCTAGGTACCTAAGGTACATACAGTTGTAACCTTGCTCAGCCACAACTACCGGCAGCAGCAGGTACCCCACCTATTTCTTCTGTTCTGATGAGTAAGATATGAGATCTATTCATCTATTTACATGTATCTATCTAGCTAGCTAGCTAATCTAGCTATTATTGTGACGATTTTTTTTGGGGGGGTGCATTAACGCAATGCAACATGGTCGACTGAGATCAAATGAGATAGATAGATGGATGGATGATATCGAAAAGCACTCCGACCGCAACTTCTGTCAATCGCTGTTTTATTTTTCTTTTTTTTATTTTTTGTTTCTTATGACGACCTCGTTCCTCGTACTGTCCTATTTCCCCTCGAGCGAATTCATCTACATATTTATAGCGATTTCATTGTGTATAGCAAGTCAAGCAATTTACAGCAAAGGTCAAAAAAAAGTGATAAGTAAAAAAAATAAAAACTTTTTCAACAGACACACATTATGTCTGTCGCCTTCGAAGCCATCCCCCCTACCACCCTGCCAAACCACATGTCAATCGTGAATGAAGGAGAAAAAGAAAAAGAAAAGAACACAAATAGTGTAAATAGAGAAATCCCCTATGCAAAAGTGGTATCAATTATGCCCTGTGGCATCCTTTCCTTGTCCTTACCCCCAGTCCTCACAAAAATAAATCGACGAGAAATAAGAAACAAAACAAACAAAAAAACAATTCCCCCCCAAAGCTCACCCAAATCCTCATTGAAATTTCAAGACTCCGAATACCAGCGAAATTCGTTTCCAGATCAGTCGACATGTTAAACAGAAACTGACTAAAGAAAAAAAAACAAGGACTCCGTTGCTCCATTCTCCAAGTGTCAAGGGCGAAAAAAAAATCAAACCAGCTTCCCGACTTCCATACACACCTAAACTTGGTGAACTTAACCTATTTTCCCATCCCGTTTGACATCATGTTCTGCTGTTGCTGCTGTTGCTGTTGCTGTTGCTGTTGCATCACGGCTGCAACCTGCGAAGCGCGATGCTGCTGCTCTCGTCGCGCCAACTCCTGGACCCAGGCCCTTACGCTCTTTTCAAGCCCCGGACCATATTGCTGCGCAATATGCGGCGGATACTGAGGAGGTGGTCCGTATTGCGCCATCAACCGTTGGGCCATATCTTGTCGCAATCGGAGGAGTCGCTGCTGGTACAGTTGCTGGTAACGCTGCGAAAACTGTGCGTTCTGTCGAGAGATGACCACCGTTGGCTTGCGCGGCTGCCATAAGCATCTGCTGTTGCTGTTGCTGGTGTAGAGTCATCTGAGGGGTGTTACCTTGGCCCTGCTGCTGCTGCTGCTGCTGTTGCTGTTTCTGTTGTGCCATTTGCATCTGAACAAGCTGTGTGCGCATTAATTGCGCCTGGTAAGCCTGTTGATTCTGCAGTTGCTGCATATTATGTTGTTGCTGCTGCTGGGCATGCTGATTCTGCTGGGCCTGATGTTGTTGTAGCATCTGCTGTTGATGAGACTGAATGCTCTGCTGAGCATGCGCGTTTGCCTGCATCTGAGCGAGCTGTTGGGGCGTAAATTGCCCATGACCAGCGTGGCCCTGCTGCGCTAGCATCTGCTGTTGTCGCTGCTGCAACAACATTTGCTGTTGCTGAGGCGTGAGCCCCATTCCACCTCCCATTTGAGGCGTTCCCATCATAGCATGGCCCATTACGGGTGTTTGCGTCATCGATGTATTGGGAGGACTGCCATGGCTCATACGCTGGGTTGGAGTGACGTTACGCATCACAGGAGTAGCATGTGACATTGCAGGTGTTCCTTGGGTCATCTGAGGTGTCCCATGCCGGCTTTGGCTTTGCTGGCTCCTCGAAGGAGCCATTGGATGACCCATTACCCCTGGATGCGAATGTTGTAGCGTCGAAGGCGGCCTCTGAGGACTGCCAGCCCCTTGAGCTGAAGCGCTCATACTCATCGAGACAGCAGCCTGTGTGCCCATGTTGGCTCCGACAACCGGTGACGAAGTATTATGTGGGGTCTGGTTGCGCACCACTGGCGATGACATTTGACCTTGGGACACCTGGGATATGCCGTTTGCCTGGGCCATTGCATGTCTATTCTGTTGCTGAGCTGCAAGTTGCGCCTGCGCTTGTTGAGCGGCCAGCTGCTGGCGTCGAGCCTCCTCCCTAGCATGTTCCTCAGCTTGACGTTGTTCCAAAAGGCGACGCCGCTCCCTTTCTTGTTCTTGCTGTTGTCTCTTGGCATGCTCCTGCTGTAGCTTTCGCTCATGCTCCCGTTTGGCCTTCTCCTCGTGCTGAATACGGATACTCTCGATCGTTTTAAATCTAGAGAAGCGTGGCTCGAAAGGTGCCGCGCCAGCAGCTTCGTCCACAGCAGACTTGGGACCACCAGCCGCGGCTGACGCGGTTGGCTCCAGTCTTTCGTCCATAATAAGCATGAATCTCTCCTCTTCAGCAGCGAGGGCCTCGTCAGCAGCGAGTTCTGCGACCGTTCGTTTCCTCCTCTTCGGTGAGGGCGGTCTATCACGATGGAGAGGACTATCCAAGAACCTAAGCAAATTCTGAGCAGCCTCCAGACTGTCCACGGGCTCCAGGTACAGAGGAGGTGCCAATGCTCTGATCAACTTTGATTCGCATTCAGGAAGTTCCTGCGGTTCAACGAGCATCTTCTGTCTCTTGGGAGGAGGACCCGCGGCAGTCGATGAAGACGATGTCTGGGAAGCGGCAGATGAAGACTGGGTCTTCAGGGTCCCCTGTGAGCCAGATTGCTTCTTGTTTACAGCTCTCGGGTCCGGTGTCGTAGCGAGAAAAGTCAGCTCCGCCAGAAGGGAACGTGGGGTTGGGTGAAGAACGGTGGTGAAAACTCTGGGCTTGGGAGGAGGCTGTTTTTCAGGTGAGGCTTCTGCGGATTTGTCCGCAGGCTCATTCTCCTTTTTCCCATCAGCAGATTCTGCGGCGGAATCTGACTCCTTCCTTGCAGATTTCTCTGTCGCCTTTGGTGAATCCACCTTGATTTGATTCTGCTTAGGATACGGAACCAATGGGGAAGGGGTGACGTGCTGATTGTAGTTGTGGATGGAAAAGGGCGTGTTCTTCTCATCCGTGGACGAACTAGTCGACTTGCTGGCTTGAGCTGACACGGACTTGTGATCCACAACTTTGACAATGAGACAGCCTAGATATGCATCAGCACCGGTCTTGGTAGAGATATATGAATATCCCAAGGTTAGCAACCTTCGTAGAATTGCACCCCAGCGCGCAGGAGTTCTTCCATCATGTCATGAGGGACAGTCCCAGCGCGAATATGTTCAATGATGACCTTCATCTCCGAGTTATAAGGGAAACTTCCGTCTTGCTGTTCGAAGCGAAAGTGGGTGGGATGAAGATGCAGAACAAGAGACGGTGGACATTTGGCGTATTTCTTCAGTATATACGACGTCGTTTTAACTATGGAAACGCATCAGTGAATGCTTGCGGAATGCACACTGAAGAACAAAGGAACAAACCATATGGTTCGGGAGGTATCTTGGCCACTCGACGATCCAACTCCGCCGAAGTTCTCGTCGAAGGCCTTTGTGGCCGCGACGGCAATGCTTCTCCCGGCTTCTGAGCATCTTTTCTCGCGCGGTTCACAGGACGGTTATTAGCGCTGTTCGCCGCAGTGCCACTCGCGGAATTCGCTGAGGATGGTTGACTCGTGCCGGGGAGACGCTTCGACGTCATGGAGGGAGAAGAGGACGAAGACTGGGATGGTTTGATGCCATTAACTCCAGTCTGTGATAACGGCGGCGGAGGACGCTTCATTTTCGGGGTTTGGGAGGCGGCCGGTTTGGAGACGGCGGTTGCCATATTGCCAATGCCGGCTGCGCGACACCGCACCAGCCAGCAATCAACAGGCGCGCCTTAGTAGATTGTGACCACGGAAATATAAGGAAAGCTCCAAATCCCTGAAATTGATGGTATCACCGACGCGCGAGACATGTGGGGAACGATATGACAGGGTCTGCGACGGGGAGGACGACGATGACGACGATCCACAAAAGGACAACGCCAATCAGGTCTGGCAGGTATGGCGACAGCAAGCGCCAAGAGCAAGATAAAGAGAAAGACAGGATCTTGGATGACGTGAAGGATGGAAGCGGGCACGTCTTGCCTCGAGCAGGTGATGTTCTCTGGCTCCGTTGAGGCTCTCATGATGCGGGTGCCACGTCGGTCACGTGTTTTACGGATCGGGTTTAGCTCCATCGGAATTCCCCCGGATTTTATGTGAAGCAAGAGGCAAGTATATACTGTGAAGTAGAGAAATTATTAGAAGATGCTCTTGAATTCACTACCCAGTATCTGCAGGATAAAGTGTATGCTGTTGATTCCATAGTGAGCGAGATTTTCATTTCAATTTCGAGGGCAGTGGATATCGCCATACAATGTACTGTGCACAGTACAAATATAAGGTTGAAGAAATATATATTTCCCACATGTCGCATACACTGATTATCTACAACTGTACACTGTGCTCTACATATTTAGGAAGCTGAGATGTATCGAAATTTATGCTGCCAGCAAAAAAGGATCGCAATCTTGCATCATGAATTTTTCACCCATGCAGGTTCTCCGACTATAGATACATATAATGTGCTGATTCCAGCTCAGGCTAAAAATGTGGTATCAAGAGTGCCTAACCATCAACAAACCAAAAGAAACAAGGAGACCTAGTGGACAGGGGAAATCTGGTGAATATCGTAATTCTGCGCTACAATACAAATGCTGCAATATGATATACAAGTATATAGACGTCGACATCATGAATTATCAAAATCGGGAATGGGGATCAACGGCAACGAAAGAGGGGGAAAAAAGCGTTCAAAAGCAAGGGTAAAGCAACTGCAAGACCCTCACAACTTCATCAGTTCATTAATCGTGTCCCAAAACCCTGCGTCTCCAGTCATCGCCTGTACGAAGGCTATCCACCACATCGATCCGTTTTCCGATCCCAGTGACACCTTCTCGCTGCCACCACTTTTCTCCCCGGTCTGCTAGGGCCGATTCATCCTCACTGTCAATCAAGCCCCCACGGCCTCCTTCATCACCCACGACAACGACTACTTGTCTCACCCACCCAGAAAGCTGCTGAACAGCCTCGCCTTCCTGGCCCGCCAAGGACTCTTGGATGTACACGATATCTGGTGAGAGATGCCGCAAGATATGGACATGACCAGTGGGGGTACTGAATACCATGATCATAGACTCCTTATCCACAATAGTCTGAGCTTGACTGTAGAGGGTCTTGAAGAGTGGGCTTGTCGCCTCGAGGTCGTCGGCAGGACGGGGTTCAAGCGTGGACATGTCCGTAGCTGGGAGCTCGCTAGAACTTGCTGCTTCTTCATGACCGATATTCGAATAGGACGAAGCGATAGAAGGCGTGGCTCGAGAAGGGGACCGCGGCCCAATCGAGTGTTTCAGATCGGGAGCATATATCAAGACAAAGACTTTGGCAACATCAGGGTCAACGTGTTGAGGCAGGTGGGAGAGTATCGACTGCGAGAAGAAATTATCGTCAGCTTAAGCACGAGTTAAACAAAAAGAAAGGACACCGAACAAACGTACAGCATGCTCCGACGAAGCGAGATCTTCCGTATCATCTTGTGACGATACAGACGACACGACAATGGCTACAGTCTTCTTTCTGGAGGGCCCAGCGGCGCCGCGGGAAGAGAGCACACCGGTCTGAGCAGCATTCCTCGCCCGGGAGTCCGCTTCCTCGGACCATCGCGAGTGGTCCTCAAAATCGCCTCTCCCTTCCTCTCTGATAGAGCCGAGCGCGCCTCCAACCATGGCGCCGGCAGCAGCCATGCCTGCAACAACCCGTCTGCTTGCGCCGTCGAAGATCTGCTGCGGACTGGGTGTGCGGCGCAATGCGCCTTGCATGCGCGCAATCACACTGCTATCATCCTGGCGCGTTTCGCTGCGCACATCGGTTGCTGTAGTCCTGGCATACTCTGCGCCCGCTTCGCCAGGCGGGACATCTCCCTCACCCTCTGGATAGTCTCTTCCATAACCACCGTCCTCCTCGTCGTCATTTCGCTCACTCCGTATCCATGCAGCAATACTAATTGCCGCGACACCAACAGTCAGAGCTAGAGGCACCCAGTACCCCATAAACGTTCGCCGGCCCGTGGAGCTGAAACCGGTTCCGGGAGTGGCTACCCGCCGGCGCCGGGTCTCCTGGGAGAAGGAGAACGACATCACGGAGGATATGGGTGTTCAGACAAGCTGTACACAAATCCAGGCCAGGGTCAGGTGGAGGAGTTGCATTTCATCCCGTGGACAGAAGCGCAATGCCACGGGGAAGTGGAGAGGGAGAGAAGAAAGCGAGGAGGACCTGCGATCAGCCTCGGAGGAGAGGGGGGCTACAAACATGTGGCTGGGCCTGGAGCTGCCCGCACTGTTTACCCGCATGCTTCGGGTCCACCGGTGGCCCTGTTTGCCGTGTTTGCCCGCCAATCTCAATCGCCTCCAAAAATCCGGAGGCGGGAATTGCTGAGTCAGCCGCCGCTATCAGCACGTGAATGTTTGTCATGTTTGCGCGCGAGCAGCGCTGATTTTCCAGATCCAGATCGGCCTTGTCGACTCACACGCAGGGCGACCACGCGCATTCGACAAGCCAACCTGAGTCGCTGTTTGTTGCTGCAATTGGACGCCGTGCCCAGGTGGTCTGGAAGAGCTTGTCGCCGCCGTGGTGACTGAGCTGCTATAACTGTGGTCGCCTTCGTTGCTGCGGGGCATGGTTGATTCTCTTTGTCGATCTGCGTCTGTGTGTGGCAAACCAACTTTACAGAAACACCATCAGGCAGCGGCTTGACCGTGTATCCAGCAGCTTCCAGGCAAGCGGACCAATATGCCGCACTCGGTTACGGTGCCCTCGTCGGGCTTCCAGGCCCTCATCCTGTGCGGGCCTGGCGTCTCTCTCAACACCTTCACATCAAACCCGGAGGAGTTTCCCAAAGCGCTAATACCCATTGCAAACCGCCCAATGGTATGGTATCCACTCGATTGGTGCTATAGAATGGGCATCACGAGTAAGTGCCCACTTTCTGTGTGTTGATGCCGCGCGTGGCCTGTAGCTTTATCGACATTTATGTGTCAATTTGAAGCAGGCTTCTACGTTGCGTGTTTGTTTCTTAAAAACTGCCTATTGCTTGCAGTTTGGTTGCACATGTTAACAGGTAATAGATATCACCTTGATCACTCCTCCGGCAAGCCAGGCCCCGTTGGAAGCAGCACTTTCGCAAAATCCGCATCTCACCTCACTCCCGTCACCGTCACCATCGGTTCTGGCTCCTCGCGACCTGACTCTCACCACTGGAACGGCTGAGCTTCTCCGCCTTCCGGAGGTTCAGTCATGTATTAAATCCGACTTTCTTCTTCTTCCCTGTGACTTGATCTGTGACATTCCAGGCGAATCCCTTTTGGATGCCTGGATGGTAACGCAGGCTGCACTGGGCGGATCTCCCGAACCAGAAGCCCGGCCTAACCGTAGATCCAGGATTGTTGGCTCGGGCGGGGAGAAAGTAGGCCGAAGAGGTGGTATGAGTGTGTGGTATCAAACACGCGGAAGAGAGGAGAGCGTGAAGGATGAAGTCGCAGATTTTGCTATCACGGCACCACTCGAAGAGGATGAGGCTCCGGTGGTATATCCTCCGGTGGAGGGACCGGGGTCGATACGATTCGGCCTTTCGAAACTGGTCTACGCCATGCCGATGGATAGTTTGAAGGAAAAAATGGAGGAAGATAAAGGGCTCCTCATCCGACACTCACTTGTGAACAAGCACGCACGGGTGAAGATGCTGACGACTTACCGAGACGCGCACATCTACCTCTTCCCCTACTGGGTCAAGGAGATGGCGAAGAATAACGAAAAATTCCAGAGTATCAGTGAGGATTTGATCGGTTGGTGGGCAAAGGCAGAATGGCAGTCTGGGCTGGGAGAGAAGTTAGGGCTAAGAGAGGTCCTTGAGCCGAAGGACGGCCACAGCGGGGACTACGGTAGCCACGACGGTGAGACGCTGGAAGAAGAGATCAATCTCCAAGCCATGACTACGACCAAGACGGGCGGCTCCGAGACGGTGGTAAACCGCTCGTCATCTCTCGACAGCCCCGCGGAATCTCAGTTCGCGTCCCGAGTGAACACATCCAACCTGGAGGCTGCATCAGAATCAACAGCCCTGGGAAGCAAGACCAAGCTCACCATCCCACCAATTCTCGCATACGTGCATTCCTCACATCCCTCTGCGCCGCTGATCCGACGCGTTGACAGCTCCGCCTTGCTTCTCTCCGTCTCTCTCCGACTCGCCAAACTGGAGTCGGTAGAGGAGGTCGGACGCGCGAACGCCTCGCCGTTCGCACACGCGCAGAAAGTGGCCTACCCGGCCGGCGTGGCGCAGCGGTGCACCGTCACCAAAGCCGACTGCCTACTGGCAGAGAACGTCACCGTGGAGGAGAAATGCGTCATCAAGGAGTCGGTGATCGGCGCTAACTGCCACGTCGCCAGCGGCGCGCGTCTCACGCGCTGTCTGCTGATGGACGGCGCCGTGGTCGGCGAGCGATGCCAGCTGACGGGGTGCATCATCGGGCGACGAAGCAAGATCGGGCGCGAATCGGTGCTGAAGGACTGCGAGGTACAGGACGGCAACGTCGTTCCGGACGAGACGGACGCCAAGAACGAGAAATTCATGGTCTTTGAAGGTCTCGACGAGGACGAGAACCCAGAAGGGGAGGAGGAGATGGAGGAGGAAGAAGAAGGCGAGGGCGAAGGCGAAGACAAGATGGACGAAAGCACCGATTTTGACGAAGGGGGCGGAGACCTAGGGTTTTGATCTGTGATCATTGAGCAAAATTAAAAAGCAAAACAAAAGAAAATAAGTAGAATGAGTGAAGGAAAGAAAGCGCTTGAGACATGTCAGTCATGTCTCAGGCATTATTATATAAGTTTTAATCATCATATCATCGCGGTAAACGAAATAGATAGATAGACTGACATGTGTAATTGATGAATTGGAAAAAAAATTAAGACAAGGGGTATTACCGCCTATTTCCTATGTTGAACCCTCGTCTTTCCCCGTTGGGCACTGATTACTACTACTAAGTAACTTCGAGACTACCAAACTTATTACTATATGTAGATACGACACCACAAATTAAAAAGCTTACTCTGGTCCTATTCCTATTAATTATTAGGCGTTCAGGATTGACTGACGCTTTTTTTTTTATTTTGATATGTTTTGATATCATTAAGGGGAAATATCATACAAAAGGCCCAGTCGTACCCCAGGATGGAAAAGGTGGAATGAAGGAGAGAAGGAAAGTACATACATTAATTGATTGTGAGCATGAATTTTTTTTTAATTTTTGGCCAAAGAGTAAGTAGAGACAAAGGGGAAAAAAGTGGATAATAAGGCAAATCCAGACATCCTTCACAAGTGATCATCAAACATAGGAAAGAATGAGGTGTGAGTAGAGAGAGACGGGGTATTCTGTGTGTGATGTGTGGATGTTTGTGGAAAAAAAATTGTTGTTTGTGTCAATCTGATAGGGTTGAAAGCCATAGAGTAGTTGAAATCGACGAGAAATGTTCTGACATTTGTTCCAAAAGCCAGCCACAGAGATTGCCAGTCAGGTAAAGAAGGAGCCAAACCGAGGAAGCAATAATAATGTCGTCCTCTGTGCCAGTTAAGAACGCCTGGCTTTAACAGACAGTTCACTCTCGACAAGGCCATGTCCACGTCACAGACTGCGCGACACAAAAACCCCCTACTTGACGTCTCCAACAAATCGATCTGAGAGTTTCTTCAGTCGGGAGCTCCGCCGAAGCTGGGCTCCTCGCTGTGCAGGGTCACCATTCTTAGATGGCGTGGTGTCTCCAGCGTTGATGGATCCCGAAGGATTTTCCGGTTGAACCTCTGTTTGGTTCACCTGTGAAGTTTCTGTGGTTGTCTTCGTTGGGGTTGTGCAAAGGCGCTTGGCCTCCCGGGGACCGGGATCAGATCCAGCAACGAAGGGAGAACCTTCACGCTTCGAGTTGGGACATTGATTTTCCTTGTTTTCTTCCACCTTCTGGTGATCCTTGCCATCATCCTTCGGCACTTCAGTGACCTTCAATGCCTCAACGCCGGAGATAACTGCTGATTCTGAGGTAGACACATCTTGGTTCTTCACTGCTGCATGGGCACGCGCCTTCTTCGGTGTCGGCCGCTTCTTGTTTGTTGGTTCGCTAGCTCCGATAGACGATAGGTTCGCGACAGCTGCCTTGCGGGTTGGTTTCCTTGGTCTGCCACGACCCTTCGAGGACCCATGTGCAGGGACTGCAAGATGCTGAGGTGGTGAAGTGGCCTCAGGTTGCGTGCCATGATCTTCAAACAGTACTTCCTCAGTATCAGCAGTAGACACAGGAAGTCCTGGTGGTTGGATTGGGAGTGTTTCGCTCAGGTTGGCACTGTTAGCCAAACAGTCATCACTCATAGCAGCGGGAGCACTAGGAAAAGACTCATTAACGGGTCGTTCTCCTAGGAACGCTGAATCGAGATCACCCATAGCGCTGTGATCGAGTTCAACTTCGGTCGGGGTCACATACCATGGATTGTCTTCATGAGCATCTTGTCCAATTTCACTGAATAATTCATCAATATCAAAAACGGAAAGATCGTAGCCACAACCGCCGCTGATATCGTCGACACCAGGGATTTCAGCATACGTGCGAATAGGTTTCGGCTCTGGAAAGAGATAAGAGTCAGCATCCAACGCATCGATGTGGAGGAACTGGTTGATTTCCATCTCCTCTTGTTTCCAGTTGAACAGCGTGAAATTTTCGGGTTGCTGCTGATTGTCACCAAGTCTCATGGGATAATTGGCTTGCCCGTGCTCCTGCAGATCAAGCCCAAATTCCGGATAGAGATCTCGAGGCTCTGACGCGCGCTGTTGAGATTCCAAGTCCTCCATCCCCATGGTATCAGAAGAACCGGCCTGAGGCTGCATTGGAGATGTGTCATGATTCTCGAACGAACGACTCATAAACTCGCAGGATGGACAAACATGATCGACTTGGACCAATTCTGCATTGACAACGCCACGCTCTTGGACTACTTGGCCTAGTGGAGACGCACAATTTGGTGAGATGTGGCCACAAGTGTACGAGCAAATGCGAAGCTCAGACATGATTTCTGAGGTGGAGCTCTTGAGGTCCTGATCGTGGAATGTCTGATGGACAAGGAAGCTCAAGAGCAACGTTGAGAGCAAGATACCTGATGAACGACGAGGTCTGGAAGCGAAGGTATCTGATGATGAGTTCGAGGCGCGCAATGAGTATAAATAGGGGAGATTGCGCAAAGAAGCCTCGTAGAAGGGCTATCAAAAACCAGCACCTGTCACAGGGCATGGGTGAAGGAAGGATATTGCCATCCAATTGAGGAATCAAAGCAGTGGTGAAAGGCATGTAGAGAAAGGCGTGTCTTTGACAATCTGATTTGTCGTGCTTGTGAATATTCTGTCTGCTTAACTTAGTAGGGAGCTATCAAGTAGTTAGTCAATCAGTCACTGAATCACGAAATCTGGTAGCTTCACTGGGAAATGCACGGAATGTTCCGTTGCTTTCACAGCTCAAGATATTTTTTGATACGACAGTCGCCGATGCTTCCAAATTACAGCTTGCGGCTGAGAATTTGACTGTCTGATAGGGGCGCAGGTTGTTCAACTGAAATTAGTTGAATGACTACCACAGTAACAGCCACAAGAATCAACGGGTGAAGAAAAAAAGACCCCATAGAGCGTGTGATGTAAACGAAGATTGAAAGACCAAATGTTCCGGCCACGTTCATTCAAAAAACAAACCTGTTTTGGAATAGGATTTAAAGCTGTACAAAGAATCATACTTGTGAGCCAACTATGTAGCTCAACGAAAAGCGCAAGCTCAACTCCAGAATACAGACACAATGTCATATACGGCATGGCATTCAGGTAATCCTCAAATATCAGACATGGAGTTGCAAATGTCAGCAGCCGCTGTCAGTCGAGAATCTCTGGGTATCTAATGAAAGAAGAAACAAAGGTCATTTGTCGGAGACAGCCAGCCAGGGCTTTGACGGAACAGTCAGCTCCAATTTGACTCCATTAAAATTTGCTAAGGCACGTCATTCCTGCGAAAAAGAAAAGAAAAAACCGGAGAGTGCAGACTGAAGGCTGAAAGCGCAGTACATTAGTCTTGTAGCGGTAAATTCCTCCGCTTAAGAGACTTTCGTACTATTCATGTTAAAAAAAAAGCCTCACTGGAGTGCTTTGGGTGTCATTTTGACAAAAATCGGGTGCTCTTTGAGACGCAGCCTGTTCTCAACATTAGCAAAATGAGTTGTCCCTTCAGATAGTCAGAATCCAGCCTTGAAGCCATTGTTTCAAAAGCAATGGCAGGATGATCTCGATCGTGACATAATAATGGAGGTGCCGCAAGAAAAACAAAGATTGAGACGGCAATGACGATCCGGCGGAAGGCTTTGGCCCATGCACAATGGCCGTTGACGGTTTCGGAAGGCGCTGATCAGTGGGCCCGGGAAGTGCCTTACGGAGTATTCCGCAGGACCGCAGTTGCCGTATCTAAGGGCCAGACGCTCAGGTAATCGAACTCGCGAAGAAGGATGGAAAATGGAAGGAGAATGGTTAGTGCGACAAGAATCCTCTTCTAGGGATCAGGGACTGTCTGTAATTTGTCTGAACTGTCAACGTTTGGAGCTAAGAAGTTAGTATTACTGACAGGTGCGCACAGACCTGATACTATATTAGGTAGAATTGAGTCCAGTCCATTACTGGCCCCCATTTCAAAGCGGAATTGAATCCAGAGTTGGAGAGGGAAATTCGGCACCGGCTCAGGGGATTTTCTGAGAAATGATGCAAGGTGTACAGTTCAATCTACAATTCAATCTACAATCTGTACAAGAAGTTGGTGATGATAAAGTTCCGGGAGAAGTGCACTGCGCGGTTTTTCAGTCGCGAACCAAACCTGAGCCAGATCAGGTAGAGATGCGGATTTCCCACCGCCCGCGATCCATGGAACCGAAATCGACAGACCCAATTTTAGCCGTGGATAAACCCATGGACCAGCAGAGCCGTTTGCGAATTCATGTGAAGTGGCGGCTCCAATGGAATCATTTAGAAGCAGCATGTTTTTCTCTGCTGACATTTGTTGTGCCGCACGCACACACGTATTGTTTCGCCATTGGAATGGAATGGAATGCACCAGTAGGTACCAGGTAGCCTGATGACCAAGGACCGTTCACAGCATCTAGGTAGTTAGGGAGGTGATGTCTACAAGAATAAAGAGCATTATTCGAGGCTTTCTGGCAAAATTCCATATGCAAGTTAAAATGCCATTTAGTCATGTGGCATCCATGCGCTAAGAATGGCGTAACGATTCTTCTCATAAGAACTTAATCATTCCTGCATAACGAAGTTCCATGATCGATATTTTCGATTCTGTCTGATTTGACAGGTTTTTGAATAGAGATGCGGGGTGGATAACCTTGCTCATGTGACCGTGTAAGGAAAAGGCTGTTCTGCAAACAATGAGAGAGTGGAGATGACATCATGTCAGTCATGACAGTACTAATAATAGTAAATAATACTACTAAAATTAATGCGGATCGGTATACAGAGTACTCCAAGAAGTAGTAATGTAGATGCAAGAGCGCCTCATCTAATCTAGAAGAAAAATCACGAGGCTTCGCCCCCGTAGGATTGCCGCTACTGATTGTCAGCATTGACGCTAGAGGATCTGATGGCGCTTCCTTTAGATACTAGGCTGCACGACATTCTTGACAGGCCTCGGCTAACCCCAGGGGACCCTTGGGCCACTGTTCGTTGGCGACTCTTATTACCGGTTCCGGCGACGTGCAGGACAAACGAAGGTGCGCCTCGTGCAGGATGGCCAGTTTTCTCTTCACGACAGGAGCCAACAAGCAAGCATCGTCTGAAAGATCTTATCCGCTGCGTGGGATGTTCTCGTAACTGGCAGACCTGGAGGTCAGATCGGAAAATGCGAGTCTGGCACGATTGGAAACACAAACAGAGTACTCCATACACGGAGAGAATCGAGTACAGTATGCGCAATCACATGAGTTTCAAAACAAAAAATTCTAAAAGTTCGCAGAATACGGAGTAAGTTCTCCTTGTTAGCTGGGTCACTATTAGAAGAGTGAAATTCTATCCTTGCGCACGGAGTATTTTTCTTCGACGCCTGCGGCTAAAAGCTGCTCCGCACACCGCCCCTGGGAACAGTACGGAGTACATCCTAAATACCGTCCGCAGTAAAACTACCTGCTCTTACCATAGCAGACAGCCCCATTAGGAATCGTCAAAGGCACGGCCTTCACATTTTGAAAGTGCTGGTTCAGCTTGTAGCATCTGATCGTAGGGAACTGCAATGCCACATAATAAACTCAGGTGTAAGTGAAGATCACCGCCGGGGGCCATTCAGATTGTCGAGTCGGAACTGCATATTCCGTACTCGTGGATAAGTTTGAAAGCTACCTAATCTAAGACTGCGATTATTAGTCGCCTTGACGTTTGGTCTCCATTCTTCCCCCGCAATTCTCAGTCCAGCAGCAGGTAGATTCAAAGAAAGCTGAATGAAGGAAAACTGCCAACCTATCCCGTGGTAACACGACGGCGGATTATGGATTGCTGCATGCCCCTTTTCTAATTGGACCCCAAGACCAATTATAGGACTTCTGGCACTATGCAGTCTTTTCGACCGACTTACCAAAATCGGATCGAACGAAAGGCCTCCAGACGAGGGCGAGGGGCCGCAAGAATGATGACTAATTCAGGGTCACGACTCACGAAGAATTCAGGCCCCAGAGATCTGCGGGGGCCGTAACGATCGACAGGATGTCATCTCCGAGTGCGGAAACCCCAAGATTGGCTCACACATCTGAAACTTCGGAGAGAGGGTTAACCGAGGGTCCGATGTAACGGAGAATTTCATGCTTGGTAACTTTCAGCAGTAAAGGGCGCTGGTTGAAGCGCACTGGCAGACGACAGCTGCCGGGCGGCCTGTCCAATGGAGCTGTCCCGCCGTGTCGATCATGCGGGAACACGTCGCTCCTTGCGTGACAGAAGAACTGAACCCGGAGAATTCGCTGGAGATAAATATGGCATGCCTTTCATTCTCCTCAGCCATTTGCCCGGGCGGTTAATAGTTATTTTAAGACTCGAGAAAAAGAGCAATTTGTAACCGGCCATTCCGATGGGATGCACATCACGGTTAAGGGTGTTCTTTAAGCTCTCCAGCAATTAATAATCATTCGACCGATCCTTCCACTCAATGCTTCGTTACCTAGGTAGCAGATTGGTGGCCTGGCCTGTGCCAGTGGCCAATGTTAGGTAGAGAGCTCATTTAAAAACGATACGACGTTATCCGCGGTCCTCCGTAGTTGTTGGCTTGCTGCCCACTGAAATACAGTCTTTCTCTCTGCACGTGCTGTTCAACGGCTAAACTTTGAGATGCGAGACTACGCTATTATATAAGATAAGGACCGTAAATTCGGCTGTCTGGTGTTCGGATCCGAGAACTCGGCTCTCTTGTACGGAGTATAGAGTGCTCCGTACAGGCGTTCCGATGCGAGGTAGTACAGAGTAGCATGGATGATAATGCCCTCCGTAAAATACAGCATGCACAAGACTGCATAGGGGAGTATGGTATTACTCGAGATGCAAAGGAATCACCACATTGGGACTAGACCGCAGTTTGTTTGCGGCTGAGCCCAGGACGACTGGGAGCGCGCCATTGTTGTGATTCTTCGAGAGAAGACCATACGGAGTTTGATGGCCTCCTCAACAGCGGCGAAGATAACCGATAAACCCCCTCCGCACGGATTTCCTCATGTCTGCAAAGAATGGGCTAAGAACGTCTGCAGATCAAATAGGAGTCCGGAGTACGGAGTAAACATCAGGGCGTATCCGGAACTAGCGAATGCCGCTAAGCCGTCAAGTCAATGCGCACCGGCAATGGAAGATAGCGTCTCCTATCTCCAGCCTTGCAGCGGAAGAATGGGCCTTTATTCACGAAGTCTCAGTAAAAAAATAAGCAAAACAGGCAGAATGACAAACCAATTGTCGGGAAATAATCAGCTGTCAGAGCGTTGTTTATCAAGCAGAGGGACAGCTCTGAAGTATTATTTACGTCGTGCCATGGCTGAACGGGCACGTTGCATCACTCGGTTTTGCATCATGACGAGGGCACTGGCCGTGGACTGGCCCAGGAGCGTCTCCTGGCCTGGCATGGCGCGTCACTAAGGCCTTAGCAGCACCGCCGGCGCCAAATCGCGCAACGGCACCCACCGCGGGACCTTGACTCGAAGTTCGCCTCATGCTTCCAGCACGTTCCCTCCTGCGTGTGGGGTCTGCCGGTATCGTCCATTCGCCCAGCACCTGCCCAGCAGTCATCCAGCTGATGCTGCGTCTCTCGTGTCGCTCTCTGTGTGCGTGCTGCGTCATCTGGAGGCATCAGCAGCGATATTTAACTGCGTCGCCGTCAGCCGTCGACGCGAGCAGCCAGCGACCAGGCATTCCGCAGGCAGTTCCGTGGGCGGTTTAGGCGAACGGCTCGCCAACGCCCGCGTCACCCGCTAGCCCAAAGCCCCGTAGGCGCAACCTGCAGGCTGCATCTGCACTCAAGCTGCTCCCTGGAGAGCCCCAAAGCTCCAGGCCAGCCTCTGTCTAGAGTCGAAGGCACGCCGTCTCCAAGGACACGCTTTCGTGCCTTGCTCCCGGAGGACGCCGCTCCACTCGCCGACCTGGCCATTCCCGTCGCGCCCTCGCATCTCCATCGTTCCCCTGCTCCCTCTCCATCCTCGCTTCTCTCCTGTCCTCCTCTCCTCTCCCCGTTACGACTTCCCCGTCCTCCCCCAGTCCTCAGGAAGGCCCATCTTCTGTCTGCCCCCCAGAAGACGTGGTGCCGTTCTCACGGACCTGGTCCTCTTCTCTTTCTTTTGTTTTTCCTTCCTGGGCCCCCTTTCTGGTACATGGCTTGACTGACTCCCCTTCTGCCCTTCACCTCTGGAGCCTTGCGTTCCACGACCCTTCTGCTCCCTCCCCTCCCCGGTCGCCCGTCCCGTCATCTTTCCTTTTGGAGGCTCCTCTTTCTTCGTCGACATTCGTTTTTCTGCATCCGCTTGTGCGTTCGCCTTTTTGTATCAGTATAGTCTTCTTTTTTTTTTTGCCTTTCGTTTCGTACAGTTGTTTCGCAGGTAAGGTCTCCTACTGTTCCCTGTCTGATTCAGGCCATTGTGACCGTATATCCCCTCGCCTCCCAGTCTGCGATTCCGGATCCACTTCGTCAAATGCCCTGATCCTTTCTTTGTGCTCATCTTTGATATTGAAATCTAACGGCGCCCCCCGTGTCATGATAGGCTTCGCTCATATTCTCTTCGTTTTCTTTCATTTCGACCTCATTTGTTTCCCCCCCAACGCGGGCCTCCAAAAGACAGAAGAGATCGACGGTCGCGCCGAACGATTTTTTCTTGCAGTCCAGGGGGTCCTCCGTATCCTTGGTGGTTGATTGCTGGCACGCTCCGCTCATCGTGTAGGAAGCCATCATGACAGCAGTGGTCCAGACTATTGTACAAACTCGTCCGTCCTCGTCCTCTGGGACAAGCACCTTTCCTTCTGCTTCCCAGAGCTCCCAATCTCAGACCTCCCGTGGCCACACAATGTCGCTGAGCACCCCCTACAACGGCTCGCCGGGCTACCGGAACTCTGTGGCTCCGTACGCTTTCACGAGCACTCCAGGACTAGTCCAAGCCGTTAACGGCCAGCAGCGGCAGCGTACCCAGTCCCAATCTTCTGCATCAGCACCTCAAGGCTCGCAGAGTGCCACCACCAGCGTCCCCCCACGCCTGCCACCTTTCGCAGCTGGTTCTGTATCTTCTTCATCCTCATCCTCTAATTCCTCTCAACATTCCCACGTGTCCCAAGATGATAGTGTCCTCGCTTCGAGACGTCGAACTAGCGATGTTACGCCTCGTCCCTTATCCACCGTCAATCTACCTTCCCAATCACCCTTCTTGAACCTCTCCTCTCCCAGTTCTGCAAAACCATCCCCCGACCGCTATCGTCGCGGAAATCGGCGTGCTGAGAATGTAGCGGGGTCTCAGCCAGTCCTCGTGCAGGGAGGCTCGAATGCGTCCGTGCCTGTGCCTGCGAGAGGCTCATCTTATGACAGTTCAGCAGCTACCACTACTAGCACCACAAACACGTCCCAGCCCTCAGGGCCTCGTAGCGCGACGCAGGGGCATGTGCGTGTGCCTAGTGCGGATGACCCACGCCCGGAGAAGCCACAGCATCCAGAACTGGCGAAACGATACAGACGGAGGAGTTGGGCCGGCCTGGACGCGCCAGGGGCACTGGACTCGAAAGAGCAGATGCCATCCAACGCGTCCCTGTTTGCACCATTGCCAGATTTGAAATCCTCCGCAGAGCGTTCCCGGCCCCAGTCTGCTCATTCTCACAAGGGTAGTACGGACAGCAGCCATTCAGTCCGGTCCTCGACTCCCTCGGAACCCAGCTCGTACAAGGAGGAAAGCAAAACTGCTCCGAACGTTTCCCAGACCCCCTCTCCATTGTCACATATGACGACGGCTAGTTCAGACTCGCCATCAGATGCCGCGGTTCCCGAGGCGGATGTATCTAAGGAGAGTGTTGCCGCACAGCCTCTGGCAGACAGCAACAAAACGCCACCCAAGAAATCTGGAAAATCTCGACTGCGAAGGGCGTTCTCATTTGGCAGCGCTGCAGAGCTCCGAAAACTCTCGGTCCAGAATGCCATCGGCAAGCGGGAGCTTGTCGATCCGGACCACGGCAAGCAGGATGCAGGCGATGAGCTCGACCCGGAGCAGGCTGCCATTGCTGCGCAGCAGGAGGCGAATGGCCTTGGTGAGAATATCTATTCCAACCAGATTTTCACGGGCTCGACCGACAATGTGTCCATCTCTTCGACCGCGTCTTCTGCATCCGTTATGCTACGGAAGATGGGGAAGGGTATGAAGAAATCTACCCGGTCTCTCGTTGGCCTTTTCCGCCCGAAGTCGATCTCGAGCACACGCTCCGAGTCGGCCGTCGTTGAGCCCACGGCTCCACAGGTATCGGTCGTGAATATCGAGGCGGAGAGGAAGACCGTCACCGCCAATCCGGATCCTCACACACAACCCGGCGGAGGGACAGTGTTTCCTAAACTCGAGACCGCCTCCAAGGACAAGACGAAGCCTGTCGCGCCCAAGGTTTCTGCGCCGAAGGATGTTCCGCCAGTGGAGCGAACTCCAGTTGACAATGCTCGTGCGCGTAAGAGCATTGTTGGTGGAGAGAAGGAACGTGCAGAGGTCCTGGCAGCGGTGAAGAAGGGTATCCTCAAAAGTATGTCCTATGTTTCTCTGCCACCAAATGTTACCTGAAGCGCCGACTGACATTTTTTTTTGGTACAGATTCCACTACCAAGCCGGTTGAGCCGCGATCTTCGGAACTTAACCCACCACCTGCCCCTCATGCCAGTGATTCTCCCAATTCGAGTGCACCAAGCACACCTGATGATAATACCTCCCGCGCAGGTCATAAGAAGACGGATAATGGGAAGGGTGAAGGTCAAGATGGCATGCTTTCGACCGGAAAGGGGGATTCGAAGGGCACTCAACCTGCGGTCACGAAGACCATTGTGTTCAGCCCGCGTATTCAATTCCACGAAACATGGCCTAGTGGTGAATACGACCGACGCGGCGAGGCCGCAACGTGCAATAGGTTGACGCCTTTACTGGCGCAACAGATCAAGGAGGAGCTGAACACCTTCAAGATGGTGGGTTTTGCAATGCCAGAGGATTTCTTTTGAACGGACGTCGATTACTGACCAGGTCTTGACAGGAAATGGAGGTCCACGAGACATCGAAAATCTATACACATTTCCTTTGACAGCATTTTGCGCGGCGTTCATAAGACAGCATCGTTTCTTCGCGAGAACATTGCATCATTCTCCGTGTTACGATTTCGCGAGCAGCTTGTCGAGTATATCATTATTAATGATATCCCCCCAAGCGGTTCATCTTCGAATCTGGTAGACCGGTTCTTTTTTTTTTCTACAGTCCGATTTCCTTAGCCGAAACATCCGAGCTCTTGACGATATCGGTCTCGGCTATTCTTCTCTCCTACGCTTTTTCTCCGCTTTTGTTACTTTCTTTAACTCTGGCTAGGTGATCTTTGGTGTTACGGCGGCCACAGTATTTAATCTTACTGTTTAGTTTCTGACGAGACTCCGTTGCAAATTCACTTCGCCATCTCGGCCACAATCGGGCTTGCATGCCTGTGTGATACGATTTTCCTTCTTGTTTTCATTTTCTTTGTCTCTCTTCATCCCAAAATTTTCCTTGGCCGCGTTTCTATGTGCCGCATTTCTTGCTCTTGCTTGAGTGTCCATCTCTCTCCTGAGCTTTCTCCGGTTTGCCTTTTTTTTTTTCGAGTGCGCAAATGGGGACGGCGTCGTTTGCTTGCACCGCTCATGTTCGTGCCATTTTTTTTTTCCTGTTGATTCGTCTTGATTTTCTGAGCGTTGCTGTCCTGTATCTCTGGATTCGTCTCTTCCTTTCTTGTGTATCATCTGTTTCCATTTCACACTCTTTCTAATTCGCTTGAGTGGCTTGGATTTGCGATGGAGTTGTTCGCTGCTTTTCAGTTATTGATGCTGTTGGAGCTAAGGATGGACTGGATTGCGCAGTGGCGAGGCCTTTAGCGTTTAGTCGATCAGGACAGGGAATTCAAGCGCAAGATATCCTCTTCATTTTCAGACACTGATAGGTTCTGCGTAAGATGTCAGCCTCGAAGGCGTGTAGGCATGGTTGCTTGGACATGCCTGATATGGCAGTCAAACGGCTGTGATTTCCGGGTCATATGATTTGATACCCCTGAGCTCTAATGACACAGTTGCCAGTACGGAGTACTTGAACGCAATCCTGCATGCAGTCATTCATTTGCTTTATTTCGTCCACATTTTATTATATTACGATTCACCACCCGATAATGCTCCGATATAGATCTAGTCAACATATAATCTCAAGTGCAGGTGTACACGCAGCAAAGTTGGCTACATAACTGAGTTTCTCGTTGGACCTTGGTACGGAGTCAGGGTCAACCTGGGGGCATTCCGCGGGGAAGTTTATTTGGATCGGAACTTTGCCTTTTCAGGGAATCCTCCCGACCGCGTGCGGATCCCCTGCTGACTAATTCTCGGCCGCTCGGTCGGCGAACTGCCGGCCCGTCTGTGCGCAGCGGTCGGCATCTGTTCTGCCGGGATTACTTCTCGGAGTTACCTACAGGCGTACTCAGCTGTGCAGTACAGCTCGGAAGAAGCAGCAAATTCGACGCTCAAACTCGCCTTTTTTCCTTTTCTTTTCAATCAACACGCCGCAGTCAAGACTCGTCTCTGCAGTCCAGCATGCTGAGAGCACACCAAACACGTCGGACTTGGTCCGACCGGCTTCTCCACGACCTGCCTCTCTAGACGGCTGCTCCACCGCCGGCCATCCCGCCTCTTCTCCGGTTCCCCAAACCCCGCACCCCATTGGGTTCTCCAGACCCTCCCGGAGGGCGACTCCGCGGTACGGCCTGTCCAGCACGGCATTTTGCAGCATCGTCGGCATACGGGATCTGCAGAATCCTTTCGCAAGTTTGCCGAGTCCCCACGGGCGCAAACCCTGTGCCTTGATCTTATTTACATGAAATAAATCTTGTCATCCTTTCTTTTCTGCTTCATTTTCTTCTCCCCTCCCTCTACCTCTCTGGCCTTCTCTACCACCGTCACCCGTCATCCCATCGTCTAGACTCGAATCACAATGGCGGGCACCACCAAAAATAATGTCTCCAACCATCTCTCGGATGCCGAGATTGGCATCGCCCCGGATGTTAAGAGCGACGCTCATCCGGTCGAGGTCGAGGTCGTCGCCAATGCCAACAGACCCAATGCCCGGAAGGAGGCCCCTGCATCGGTGGCTCGTCTCTCTCCAGAAGAGCGTGCCGACGCGGAGAGGGCCCTCGTTCGCAAGATCGACTTCCGCCTGCTGCCCATGATCATATTGATGTATATCTTGAATTATCTGGATCGTATGTTCGATGGGTTTCTGATCCCCGGTGGTGTTTGCGAATGCTGACTGGGTCTACAACAGGGAATAACATTGCTGCCGCAAGGTTGGCTGGGCTGGAAAGTGACCTGCACTTGACCAGTGTGCAATATCAGGTCAGTTAACCTGTTACTTGCGTTCTATTTTTTTTTATTTATTCTAGATTTGGTGGCCACTGACACTCCTCAAGACCTCCGTCAGCATCCTCTTTGTCGGCTATCTGTTGATGCAGAGTAAGTGGGACGAACAGTCATGGACATATGACAACAGACTCACCCTTTTGCAGTTCCATCCAACCTATTCTTGAATAAGATGGGCAAGCCAGCCATCTACCTTCCCACGGCCATGACTCTCTGGGGTATCATCTCTACCGCCACTGCTGGGGTCCAGAGCTACGGCGGACTGGTGGCGGTTCGATTCTTCCTCGGTTTTGTGGAGGCCGCCTATTTTGTATGTTGAACCTGTCGTACTTTTTTTTCCCTTTTCCTTCGTGGAGGTTCCTGCTCAACAGACTAATCTGTATAACAGCCCGGTTGTCTGTACTTCCTGAGTGCGTGGTACACTCGCAAAGAGCTTGGCCTCCGAACCGCCTTGCTGTACTCGGGTTCTTTGATATCCGGTGCATTTTCCGGCCTCGTGGCGGCAGGCATTACAGGCAACATGGATTATACCAGAGGTCTTCGTGCATGGTGAGTCTGCTTGCCACTCCACTGTCAGGGCACTTCGGACTAATTGTTTTGTTTGTTCCTCAGGAGATGGCTCTTCATCATCGAGGGCGCCATTACCATTGTCGTTGCTATCGCTGCTGGCTTTGTCCTGCCGAACTTCCCACGGACTACCAGCTGGCTCACCGAAGAGGAAAAGGAGCTTGCAGCGTGGCGGTTGGAGGAGGATATCGGCGAGGACGACTGGGTTGACAGTGAGCACCAGAGCTTTATGCATGGTGTCAAGCTTGCAATTATGGATATCAAGACCTGGATTTTGGTGAGTGTTCTTCTATCTGCTTGTCCAATGTAAGGTTAACTCTGATAACTTCTCCAGATGGTCCTCATCTTCTGCATCGTCTCCTCCGGCTCCGTGACCAACTTCTTCCCCACGGTGGTCCAAACCCTCGACTACGGCACGATCGAGACGCTGCTGCTCACGGCTCCTCCGTACGTCCTGGCCGTCATCACCGCGTTCTTTAACGCCTGGCACGCCGACCGCACGGGCGAGCGCTACTTCCACATCACGCTGCCGCTGTACGTCTCCGTGGCGGCCTTCATCATCGCCGCCGCGACCACGTCCGTCGGTCCGCGCTACCTGTCCATGATGCTCATGGTCCCCGGCTGCTACACGGGCTACGTCGTCGCTCTGGGCTGGATCTCCAACACGCTGCCCCGGCCGCCGGCCAAGCGTGCTGCGGCGCTGGCCTTCATTAACGCCGTCAGCAACGCCAGCAGCATTTATGCCAGCTACATGTATCCCAAGAGTGCTGGGCCGAGATATGGTATGCATTCGCTGAAACCCTCTCTCTTGTCACGTTATATGTTATTAACCGGTATTCTTTCTCAGTGGTCGCCATGTCCGTCAACTGCGTGACGTCCTTCGTCGCCATCCTCTCCGCCACACTCCTCCGCTTCATCCTCGTCCGGCTGAACAAGAAGCTAGACCGGGGCGAATCGGTCGAGGGCGCCGTCGTCGGTGTACCGGGGCAGGCGAGCCAGAGGGGATTCCGGTTCTTGGTGTGAGAGCAGTACTACTACTACGTGTACTACTACTACGACTCGACTACGACACGATTACACATATCTGACACTTACGCGCGAGAGCATCTAGATAGATATCTTGATCTTGGTTAGACGTGACGTTCTGCTATTTATTGACTGGCGCGATAACGTTTGCTTCTGACTAGAGTTAACTACTTTTTTCCAGACGGTTGGGTAGGGAATATTCATATGCATAGAAATAGAAATAGGAATATGTTTCATAGAGAGCAAACATAGTTTTCTAATTAAAAAGAGAAGGAGTGAGATGCCATATCCGGAGCATCCAATCAAGTGACCAAGTCGCTATCGACAGCTTCTCCTTCTTCAGTCCTTGTAGTAAGTAGTAAGTAGGAAACCACTGATAACATCATATGTACAGTAAGCTCATGCATGTAAGCTCACGTAAGCTGATATACATAATTAGTGTAGTTTTATTATTACGGAGTATTATTATTATTTCTCTTGCTAGGTAGTTATGGCACCAGGATCATGCATGCATGCACTATCACATATCCAAGACTCCAAGACTCCAAGTCAGTCATATCAGTCATATTTTTGATTAATTTAATTAATTTAATTGCCTTTAATTAAATGAATCAATCCTCTTCGATCCTCTTTAATTTAATTAATTAAGTATTTACACATAAATTATATTGCTGACCTTGTACATAGAGTCGTTTATTGATTGATTAATAACCCTGGTTCTATTCCATTATTGCGCATCTCCTCTCTACATACATATGTGTACTGCATGTCAATGCAATTAATATAATTAATTCCATCATATGACTTAATTTATTATTACATTAGTGATAATGATAAATTGAATTTGATATGCTCACCTATCTATGCTATTCTGGGATGCGATTATTTGGCTAGTTATTATATCCTGTACTATACGTATATGCATACAATCCATACTTTCCCTCTTTTCTCTTCTTTTTGCGTTTCAATTATATTTTTAAAAAAAATTTATTTCTATTTATTAATTAATATTTATTAATTAATTACAGCAAGACTCTCAGTAAAAAATCTTCACCCCTTTTCCTTGTCCTCTCTTTTACCCCGCCCGAGGAGGGCATTTCTCCCCCTCTTCTCTCCTCTCCTTGCAATAATAACAATGATGACAATATGACAATGATAACAGTGATGAGCACCCCAACACACCCTTCAAAGCCACAATAGACAGTAGATAGATAGATATTCTAGCAGCTCAATGACACATCGCATGGGTCCGCAAAACATAAACTAAGCTAATAATAATAAAAGATATATGTACACACAGAAGGCAAAATACAAGCAACCGAAAGGAAAAGGTAAAAAATTATTTCGCATACACATGTCAATGTCATGGACTCGTGGAGTCGTGATGGTCCCGGCAAGACAGGACCGGACGGAAAAGGTGAGGGGGATGGATAGCACATTAAAGTCGAATATCGAATAGAATAGAGAAATGATTAGTTTTCTTCTTTTGATTCAATTCGGTTCGAATGGTTTGATATGCAAGGCCATTGGTTGATGTTTTTTTTTTCAGCTTCAGCATCATGACGACTTTCCATTCCCCTCACTGATCTCGTCCTTCAACGCGCCGAATCGATTCGACGCCTCCACGTTCGACGTCGGAAGAGCTGCGCTCTTCTCCACGTCCTTCTTCTTGGCGCGGAGCCTGGCTGGGACGGTGGAGAAGCCCGCGTCTTCGTCCGCAGCATCGCGACCAGTCTTGTCGCTGAGCTTGCTGGTTGCCTTGCCATTGGCCTCGTCAAGCTTCTGCTGCGCAGCCTCGGCCTTCGCTTTCTGCGTCAGCGCCTCGTCCTCCGTCGCAGAGGTGTCGCCGTCGCCGTGCATCTCCATCACCGCTTTCTGGATCTCCCGGCTGACTCCCTTCAGTGCGTCCAGACCAGCCTGCTCCGCGATGTGCATCTGGGTTGGGTGCTTGACGGCTGGCTCCTTGCGGTGGAGGTACGACCGGACGAAGAAGCGGGCGAACAAGTAGGTCAGAGGCAGCAGGTACATCACGTTCAGCAAAATGCCGTATGCGTGCCCGGTCGTGTCAATGCAGTTGATCATTTCGTACCGGACCGCGTTGTCCGCCATATTCTTTGCTTGAGAGAATTGAGCCGCATTGACCGCATCCGCGCCGAAGTGCTGTCCCTGAGCATTGAGCACGTTCGCCGCGATACCCTCAGCACCCGCAGCACGGAAGGCGAGCTTCTTCAACCACGGCATGAGACCGGCAGTCGCAGTAGCCGCGGCGATACCGGACTCCGCCGCTGAAACGGCCGACGGGACCGCCGTGGGCAGCACCTGTGGAACTGTGACCGGAATGGAGTAGCGGACGAACAAGTGGGCAGCAGCTAGCATTGAACCGAAAACGAACTGGGTGATTTGGAGGGTGGTCAACATGCGCTTGAACTGGGTCGGCACGCGAATGGAGAGCGCGGTAATCGTGTAGTAGGTATACTAGGGGAGGTAATGTCAGTTTTTTTTTTCGGCAAAAAAAAAAGGGGGAGTCTGTTAATGGGTTACGTACCATCAGAGCGTGAATGCCCGAGTTGACCAGCGCAAAGATCCAGATGGGCGGCCCCATGTAGCGAATGCCAGCCCACATGCACATCATGGCACCCGCGTGGTGATAGGTCTGCAGCGTCGAGCTCTTCTTGCCCTTGGCCAGGATAATCGCGGTATCCAGGACCTCATAGAATTTCGACAGATAGAAGATCCAGCCAAAGTAAGCCAGCCCCTGGTTCCACAGCCGCCCGTCGTCCGCCGGGTCGGGCACGCCTCCGGCCGTCAGCTTGTATTCCGGGTTGGGCAGAACCCATTCGTCGGTGGTCGAGTTGTACATGGCGCCGTTTCCAAGCCCACGTGGGCCAAGTATCTTGCACAACGCATCCGTGACAGCAACGATCCGGTTGGGATCATCCCTGCTGGGCATCGAGTTGCGGAACGTCCGGACCATGCCCGCAAAGGTCCATGCCGAGTAGACGGCCAAGAAAACGTTGTGCAGGATGACGAAGGCCTTGAAGAGTCGCGTGCGACTGAAGGCCCATGGCTTATATCCCCGGCGCTTGTTCACGCGATTCAGGATGATCACGGTAGTGGCGTAGACGCTGGCAATGGTGACTGGGACACGGACATCGAGCAACTTGAGGTACAGCTCAGGAGGGATTGGGAAGGGCTGCGTCCAGGAGCGCTCAGTCTGGGGAGCCGGAAGAGGAGCGGGCCGCGGATTGGGAGGGAATTTGAACAACGACGAAGGAGGAAGGCCAAACTCCAAGGTCGGGCCAGGCTGACTGGCGTGTAGGGACTCGAACATGATGGCGACGCCGTGTCACGTTCGACAGCAGGCAATTGATGTCTCACTGCCTTGGATGGGACGAAAAATTTTCGAAAGGAGACGCAGCTCAGGTAGGCACACGACCCTCCGCAGCGGTATAAATAAGAGCGTGCACAAGGCCACCCGGTCAGCGGACGATGGTGGTCGCAGACAGCAGCGAGATGGGACCTCCTTCAGGACGAATCCTCCGAGCAGACCCCAGGAGATCGAAAAAATGGGCTGTCGTTCTCGAAAGATTTATCGAAACGCTCCTAGGCTCTAGCAAGGGACCCGCCTCCTGAGCGGTTTGGGCGCGGCGGATAGGCGGATCGGGGCAGCGGTGGAGCCGGCCGTGCATTTGTTGGGAAAACGAGCATGTCAGACCTCGGCTCGCGCGCGTTGGGACCTAGGCAGCTTGGAGACGCTGCTGCAGAGCCATTGACGGTCAATGGCTCGCCGTTGTCAAGCTGGATCAGAGCTGAGAGCCGTCGTCTGCCTCTTTTTCTGCTGCTGGCAGCTGCGTCAGTCTCACGCGACGCGTTTCCGCATCCTCCGATAGGTGGGGAGAGCAGCGAGCAAGGTTCGGCAGTCCCTGCTGCCGTGCGGAGAACCGCTGAAGACGCACGTTAATTAATTTAATATTAAATAGCCCAGCAGCTCTCACCATCGCACTGAAAACCGAAAATGAATTACTCTGCAGCGAAGAGCGTCGAACAACCGGCTCCTCCGTGCCTAGGCAGTTCTCGATAACCTTGACGAGCCGAGGATCAGAGTCCGCGACGCGCGAGTTGTTGGGGATGGTTGCAGCTGCTGATTGGGCCGTGTTCCTGAGCGGGAATCGATTCCGTCAGCAGTAATATCGCAGACGACATTCATGTGAAGCAGCTTGATTCTATGTACAGTACAGTACAGTGTACTAGTTATCGTGATTCGAGCCGGGATCCCTACATATGGACAAGCAGTCTTACGCAAATCTACATGAGGCAATAAAGTACAGAGAATGCCATAGTGGGGAGGTAGTGTGAAAAAAACAAAGGAAAAAGAACAAATCGCTCGAAAACCATCGACTCCGTTCCACAAAAAAACAAAGGTTTCAGCACGCGAATATAGCTTCGCTCAGCGAGGCTTCGTCGCCAGCGGTAATGGTGGGGGAGGCGGGGATGGAGTATGAACGGGGGCGGACTGCAGGGCAGGCTTCTTGGCAGGCGGAGGAGGAGGAGGCGGTTTTCGCCGATTGAGGGCTTCCTTGTCGATGTTCGAGCTGGACCGGTTCAGATTGGGATGAGGAGGCGGCGGGGGAGGGACGCCCTGCCCGGGCTGAGGCTCAGGCTCTGCGGGGGATTTCTGGTCCTCGATGAAGTCGTTGATGCGCTTCGTGATTCCATATTTCTGGTTCAGCGCGCTGAGTTTCTTCTTTCCCGCTTCGATTTGGTCACTGTGCCGCTCGCGAAAGTTGTTAGCCGTCGAGGCCGCACTTCGCGCCTCTGATACGGAGACTGAGGATGGGTCGTTATGGAACTTCTGAGCAGTCTGCAGCGCGGCTTGTTTCTCTGCCAGGGTCGTTCCATTGGCCGGGCTCTGTGGACTTTGAGGGCTCTGCGGGTTCTGCGAGCTTGTCGACAGCTTTGAGAAGCGAGACTGCAGTTCATTGACATGGTTGTTGGTCGCCGTGTTTGTCGAAGACTGGGAGCCAGAACTGCTTTCTTGTCTCTCGGCCGAGTTCGTTCCAATACCCAGCCCCGGCACTGAGATGCCAGCCTGGCCGAGACGAGATATTGCCCCTTGATTCAATTGCACTTGACTCCCGGTTTCAGTGTATGGCGGCGGTGATGGAGAATGGGATGTACTGGAATCTTTCCGGGGAGGCAGTCGGGGAGGCAGGGCCGGTTTCGGCTTTGTCGCGGGGGCATCGACGCCAGCTTGGTTTGGAGAAGTATTACGCCGGACGGGAGGTGGAGGAAGACCCTCTGTAGACAAGCCTGTCGTGTTCTGACGATATGGTCGCGGTGGAGGAGCTGGCTTGCTGTTTGCAGGCTCGGCTTCCTGTTGCTGAGAGTGTTGCCGGCGAGTCTGTTCTGGTGTCAAAGGCGCTCCCAGACCGCTACGGTCAGGAGTCGTCCTATCAGCAACAGCGGCCGGTCCATGGTACTTGATATGTTTTGGCGGAGGTCCAAAGGACGCCGGGTCCTTGAGGGACGAGAGGGGTGGAGCGACGTGGTCGGTTCTGCTGGAGTTGCTCGTGTCTTTGCCCATGCCTATCCAGCCTGCCTACACGTCGTAAAGTCATTAGATCATGTCAAGTGCCGCGAATGAGTTTTCCAGACTGACCACTTGATTGATGCCTTTGAAATCGCTTCGCCAGCTCTCTCTACCCCCATCCTTGCCTTTGGGATGCCAACCCTCTTTCATCACCCCGCGTATCCCGCTCATGGTGTCGGGGGCAGTGAACCACAAAGTAGGCTACGAAAACCTTTCCTCAAGCCGGATAAATTGAAGCTCATCAATTGCGGATCGAGGGAGACGAGCTTCTTGTTGACGGACGATAAGAGATGCCGTATCGACGTCTCCGGGGGAGAGCACGGCCGATTATATCACAATCACGTGGTGCATGCGCCTGCAGTTAGCCCCACCAGTCCCTCATAGCGCTGCAGCTATTAACAATCCTAAAAATTAGTTCCTAGCTAAATAATTGCTTTAAAGAGCTGTAGCTCACCGATTTATTAACATTATAAACATCGATACTATTAGAATCTCAGCAAGATTAACCCCCCTATGGAGAGGAATTGAAATGTTAATGATCACGGAGTTGTTGTCTCCTTCCCCTCCTCCAACTTCTTTACGTAACTCATCTCGCTCTTGTTTCGAGCTTACGATTTTCTTCTATCTCCTTTGCTTCTAATCATACGCTTCCATTGAGTCCTTTGGCTCTCTCTGTTTCTTTTAGCACTCTTAGGGATCCGTCATAGAGCCCTCGTTAGTCTACATCCACGAATAGAAGGAATACTGGCGTATTACTCAAAATGTGTGACTACCTACCTACCTAGGCAGGTATTACTACTAACCCAAGTACTTCAAGGAGTAACATAAATTACTGTCAAACGGGCTCTACGTATATATCAATTGGTACGAGTTTGTATCTATAATTTCAACGGTAAAAATAAGCAATGCTGCTATCTCCCCCCGCCAAAGTCCGGTTTGTACTCTTTCACCCCGCCCGATTTCATCAGCTCTCTCAGTGCCATCGTCGCGTACTGGCTTGATCCAAGCTGGAACTTGAGGATCGCAGCGATCTTGTTGTCACCAGATGCTGCTGTGCCAGTAGAGCTAGACGATGCTTCGTTATCGGCTTTGGCGCCGGTGAGACGCTCCAAGTCCGTTCGGACGAACTGCTCGTCGTCTTGGGTGTATCTCCTCACCTCGAAGGAGTAGTCTGGCCCAGGCCGGCTGAGAAGCTTGCGATAGCTGCCGCTGAGGCTGACGTCCTTCCATTTCCTGCGCATGTCAAAGGGATCGAGGTGCCCGCCTTGCTCGCTTCCCATGAAGCGCTTGTAGAACTCGGTCATCTCGTTCGCAGGGTAGACGACGTCGAAACCGGGAAGAGGCAACACAATGTCAAAAATTGTGTACTTGCCACTTGCAGCTTCTTCGGCCGATAGAGGTCTGGCTCGAGTAAATACGTCTTCCGCCTTGTTGGCGCTATCCTCCGCCTGCGGCACGACGATAACCTCTCCGTCCGCATCCACGTCCCCATGTTCTTCACTGACATCACTGTCCTTGTGCTCATTGATGATAACCAAGTCGCCTTCCACGACTTTATCCCCGTAGAGTCGCCACCGTTCACTGGCCGCAAAGTTCCACACCAGCGACTGGTAAGCGTGGACGTACATCAGTCGCAGATTCCTGGGTATGCTTTGAAGAGCACCAAGATAATCATTCCTGGCACGACCCAGATGACGGATAAGACTCGACTCAGCTGAAAATTTCCGGGGCATCTTATCCAATGCCGCATTGATCTTTCCGGTTGTCTGAAACATGTGGATCGCTTCCGCTCGGGCCTTGTCGTCAGAACTGATCAACAGGTCTGCCTTTTCAGACTCTGGAGGTGCCTGGGCTGCCTCTAGTGCCAGGGGAGAAAATTCAAGAATGGCCTCGACGGCCCCTTTGAAATCTCCCTGTAGCATTTTCATGCCAATGGCGTCCGTTCTCGTAGCGAAAGTACCGAACCGCTGTAAACCATAGTAGTTCAAGTATCCGCGTTCTCGAAGATTTCGAAGCGCCCTTCCTACAATCTCTTGAGCCTGCGCTACAGCAGCTTCACTGTCCTCTTTTCCGGCACCAGGAAAATCGCACTCGCGCAGGGTGATAACGAATTCATTTCCAGCAAGATCTCCTAGCTCCAGGCCATGTTTGCGATACTCGAAGTCCCCCACTGCCGCATTGCGAAGGGATTTGTTCTGTGCTGCTAACCGGTCAGCGTACACCCGGGGGACGCAAGCTCTCTGCACGGTGACACCCCGCCGGTCCTTGGTGCCAGCGAACTGAAAACTCTTCGGGCTCATCTTCAGCTGACGCGCGAGGTACGATATGACCTCCATGGTGTCTTTGTTCTCCTTGTAGATAGTGAAGTGCAGATACGGTCCTCCTAACTCGTCCCAAGTGGGCCTTTCTTTTCGCGCATTCCCGCTTTCACCACGGAAACCCTGCGCACTCTTCTTATGCCGGTTTGGAGCAACCGTAATGACCATGGAACCGTCACTCTCTGTCGTGGACTCCAGTTGTGATGAAAATATACGCCTGATCGCCTGGTGCATCTTGGTACGTAGGTCACGGTCGCTGACAACGCCTGACTTGACTTTGCCAAACTCATATGGCCTGGCTTTTGGCGAAGCCCTCGCGCGCTCATTAAGGATAATGATCTTTTGAGCGACCTCGGGGCCAAAATATGATTCAAGAAGGGTACGGTCCTCATCCGAAAGCTGGAAGGGAGGAATGTCGGGCGTTTCTTTTGTTTTGGATTCGGCCTCCTTCTGCCCATCCTTGCCAGATTCCGATTCACCCTCTACTTTGGGCGTTTCACCAGAGGTCTGAGTGGCCTTCGACTCTTCTGCGCCATCATTCGTCCGTGACTTCAGAGGAGCGGGAACTTCTTGATTCCGCAGGTGAAGCACTTCGCCGGAGGGAAGGATTTCATTGACCAAGAAGTCGGTGTACCTAGAAAAAGATGACGATCAGTCAGCATCCATTCACAAAACTCACGAGTCAGATCTTATGAACCTTTTCTTGAGTATCCCCGAAAAACCAGGTACGTCAGAGCTGACAAACTCGGTAATCCCAACCTCTGCCTCCTTGAGAGCCTTGGCTTCTTTGGCAGAAACTTCAGCCGCAGCTCCGTTAGAGATTGATGGCGCCGGGGTGGCCTCTTTGGGAGAAGAATCGGCCACCTTGAGCCGCTTGCGCGGCGATTCGACGACTTCGTCTCTTTCCATTGCAAGCAGCAATGGTGGTGATGGGCGCGAGACAACAATAATAGTATTATTTCAGCGGGACTCGAACGTCAAGCCGGACAAGAAATTCTCTTACGAAATCGGGATAGCGGACAGCGGGCTGTTAGGGCAAAACCCTGACTACCTATTTGGGTGCATCAACATCATCATCTGAAATCAAGACTTACAACAGGACCAAATTTATTGGAATTTTCTGTTATGGATATCGTTCGCATAAAATATTCAACTTCAGTAGGCCACAATTAACCCCATTTTTTTTTATTTTTTCCATTTTCATATAAAAAAAGCCCAGAACGAACGGACCCGCCGGTATGTATTAAAATACAGGATAAAGAAATATATGGTTGTAGTTGAATGAATAGATGGTTTTGAAGATTCCAGCAAGTTGGATTTGTTCTGCACCCTTTACAGCGCGACAAATATGAAGCCAAATACAAACAAAACCATAAGGATCGCGGCATTGACCGCAGGCTTCGCACTCGCACTGACAGTTGCAGGAGTCGATGACGAGCCCGACGCGGCAGAGGAACTGGAGCTGCTGCTCGAGGAACCACTTGTTCCTGTTCCTGCCCCTGCTCCTGCTCCCGATCCAGACGTGGAGTTACCGCCACTGGTGGAACTAGTGGTGCTGCTGGTGCTGGTGCTGGACTGCTTCATAGCAAGGTCCTTGAAAGCAGAAAAGGTCTTGTTACCAGAGGTTGGTCTAAATGGCCAGCAGTTAGCGAGCAGTAACTATTGCATCAGACGCGAGATGAAACCTACGCATTGATCGCCATCACCATTCCCTTCTGACAGTGTCCCGTTTGGCTACAGTGCATCCACAGTGGCTGCGTGTTGTTTACCATTATTGTGAACACAGGGATCGTAGTGGCAGAGGCAGAGACAGGCATGAACCCGGATTTGATTCCAGTCATATTCGGCTGGACGGCGTCTATCGGGGTGCAGGGATTATCGAAGGTCGATTGCACGACGGAATGATTCTACATTACTCGTCAGTCAAAAATGGTCAAATTCGAGGGGCAACTGTTTATTACCTTAGGCCAGAACTGGAACTGGACCATCTCTCCGGGATTCACTTTCAAGTTGTCCGGGGAAAATGTCAGGGATCCATTCTTGCCCACCTCGACGACGTGGACTTTAACCTGACCAGCAGTTTGCGCCTGGACCGCGGCGGCGAGAAATAGAGAAGACCAGATAAGATTGAACAAATGCATAATGCTGTATATTGGATATGAACAACGTAAAGAAAGTCAGAACTATTCCACCAAAAGACTGCAAGGAGCGACTAGCGCTCTATTGAGGGGAAATAAAAGACCGAAAGTAAATAGAAGAATACAGCGGAAGGAAAAGTCAGCAATGGAAAGAAAAAGCAGAATGAAGAACTGACAAAAACATGACAAGGACGGTTGATTATATGGCATGAAGAATGAGAAGCTGTCCCTTCCCCTGGGACACGGGAGGCTGGTCTAGGACTGGAAGTCCATGTCGCAGGTCAACGGGAAGGTAAAATTAGACATCTGGACGTCCATACCCAAAAGCGATGCAGAAAGGCTGAAAGGCATCTAATTCAGGGATCAACTAGACTGTAAATGAACGAGAGCTTCCTTTTTAGGCAGTCTAGTCGCAATCGTGGCGGTGACGCTGTCTCGCATAACATTCCGTCAAACGGTCCGTGTCGCAGAACCCTCTGATCAATTAGCCGTAACAACATCAAGCTATCCATCTCCAAATTGAGAAAGGCATCTGGGCCGAAAATCATGCATTCATCTTGTAAAGAGTCCAGACGGTATTCAATAGAAGTAAAATTTAAAATTTCACAATTCGTGTGTGGGGTGTTGTGTGCCATCCCAATAAGCACGCTGCGCTTACCCAGCTCAAGGCCGGTTTCGCTGGACAGGGGAAAAGCGCCCTTGAAGGAAAGCACATAGGAGTACAATGTATACAATTAGCGATTGGACCCTAGGTTTGTGGTCAAGCTTCAATTTCCACTGTGTGGCAGATGACCGAAAAGTGGATGGTGAGGCAGGTTACCGTCTGACGTGTGTCGCATCCCTGTAACAGAACAACTACTTGAGGCGCCACCACCCGCAAGCCAAGACACGTACCTGGCTTTGAGATTGGAATCTCATTACTCCGTACAGGGTATGGTACCTAATGCTTCCACACTGTGTTTATTATTATCACCATTATTACTTAGATAGTGGATCCTTCGAGTATGCAATATAGATTTGCATTTAATATGTCTGACTCCATTAGCTTGGACTTTTAATCGCGTCACTTTGGAAAATGAATTCGGTATTTTCCACAAAAATGAATCGTATTTCCCATGCTCCCTGTGCGCCAAACCAGGTCGTGTCACTGGTATCTTCGAAACCAAAAAAAAAATTAGAACAATCGTCAACGCCCAGAACGCCAAACGCCGTCCTCATCACTAAACCGAAACGTATGTGCCAATGTATATAGGAAGATTGATATATGTCCGTTTCAGAAGTCCAAAATCATCTGGGGCGCCAACTTCTCCAGATCCTCGACCTACAAGAGACAAAACTATTAGCGCCTTATTCTTTCCTTTCATCCATAAAACATGGGAATTTTCTGACGAAACATACCTCAAGAAACCCATCTCCTACCGATCCCCTGCCACCCCCAGCATCCGCATTGCCATCTCCCCCCGTTCTCTCATACGCCGCTCTAGCCAAAGCCTCTCTCACAAAGATATCCACGTATTTCGCAACGACCGCATTCGCATCCTTAGTGATTTTCGTCTTCTCGCTCTGAAAGTGGTGATGCAGCAGCTTCGTCAGGAGCTTCTGCGGGATGGCCGGTTCGCCAGACTCGATGTCGCGCGCACGGTCATTGGTGATGATTTCCGCGAGGATGTAGTCCGGCTCCTCTGAGGGAGACCGCTCTCGGTTTGAAGAAGAAGCAGACACCGAGTCTGAGCCGGATTCGGAGCCAGACAGCGACCCGGGCTCCTCCTCGTCCGTGCCGGATACAGATACGGAGGGAGATCGGGCTTTCTGGCGAGACGATGTTGATTTCCGGGGCTTTTTCGATGCTGGTGCCGACGCTGTGGCTGTGGCTGTGGACTTTCTTGACGTAGCGCTGGACTTGGTCGTCTTCGGCGCCGACGCGGATGCTTCTGCGGTTGTGGACTCTCGTCGACTCGGCGGTTTGAAGGGGAGACGCCTGCGCTTCTGGACAGTGTTTTGACGGTCGGCAGGCATGATTTGGGACAGAACAGAATGTTGATCTGGATCGAGGATGAGATGACACAAATCTGCCTGCCGCGGTGGTCTCGCTGTCAAAGAACTTCCCCACATAACTCAACGCGACACCGCGGCGGCAGGACGCGAGATCAGGTGACCGACACTTTTCATTGTGGGAAATTCTCAATTGCCCAGGGATTAAAATCTCCTTGATCTGATAAAATGTCTTACAAGTATTTAAGAAGATAGAATTTACTTTTCGTGTGGCCTTTTTTTTTTCTTTTTTGCGCCTTTTCTAAAGAGGAAAATGGGCTGGCGTAATATCACCCGTGACTGACATCGAAATATATATATGTCAATGTGGAAATCCTGAAAATGTCCGTATCGAACATAAGATCAGGGAATCTTGACTACAAAACATGAGATATTTCTGATTATTAGATTATGCAGTCACCGAACGGGGTTAAACCCCAAACGACCAACGCAAGGTAAATAACTCGGACACCCACATTTGTTTTCATCCATCACATCGATAATTTCAGAAGGACCCTAGCCAACTAGTCACAGGTCTATTCCTCACCTGGCGGTCTCACAACGGTGATTTCGAAGCCCGACTCTTCAAGTACCTTGCGCGTTTCCTCCCACTTGACACCAAACAGTCCCGAGTTGAATCGACATGACCACAGTTCTCCAGGGCGTCGAGCCGGGTCATCACGCAGCTCCGCCAGCTGCTTCTTCATGTCTTCAACGGCCCATCTGGTGTTTTCAAGGATAGTGTCTGGCGTACTGACATGGCGTCCAAAATTCCAAGAGGTGAACAAACAGACGATCCAGTGTTTCTTTTTCGGAGAATCAGAATCCGCAGTTTCCCCTTTCGCTGGAGCCTCTTCTGCTTTAGAAGAAGAAGTCTTTGTCTTCTTCCGTCTTTTCCATGGAGGCGGCCTCATGCCTGGGGTATAGTCTTCCTCCTGAGGCGGGATGATCAAGGCAGTGCCCAGTGGAAGCTGGACTTTTCGCCTCCGAGCAGGGGATCCGGTGCTTTCATCTCCATTATCATATGAATGCACCACGTACTCTGGATGTGACAGAAGATCCATACAATGAGAACGGTAGATCTCGAAGGCTGCGGGATACTGCGTGGGTCAGCTATCCCGCATATCCCAAGATTTGCTATCGATGTACTGTAGCTCACCTTCTTCTTGAAAGATTTCGCAATCCCTGCTCCCCACGAACCCTGGCAATTACAGGCGTCTGTATCGAGAATATGATTAACATTTAAATAAGACCAATGCAGCAAAGAAACAGAGACGGAAGTTAAAAAGAGCCAAGACAAAAATAATACTTACGAATCAAAACCGCCCCATCTGGCGCATCGAACAAATCTCCCTCGATCTCAGTAATGTTGCTCTTGCCAGTAGCAGCTGAGTCCATTTCTGGTTTTGTCTTGTTTGTCTTGTCTGGTCTTGTAATATTATTCTCAGAAGAGAAACGGAAGCAGAAACAGAAACTGTACAAATGAATAGGAAATGAAAGGGGGAGAAAGAAAATGAGAGACTTAAGCTGAGTGAGAAAAGGACAGTCTCCAAGAGCGTGTGCACGGTTGGTGTCTGGACAAGATAATACGACAACAGAACAGCTTGTATGAAGCAGGCCACAGCGATGGGGAGACATGCCAAGCTTCATCCTCATCTCGTATTCCCGGCGTCAAAGACTGACTCACAGCTTAGGCACCTACCAACAGATAGAGGTTAAAAGTTTTTTTTCTTCTGCTACGGTCGTACTAGCTTTACTGGGATTGAATTGCTGCCACTTACATCTCACTGGCGGTTTTGTTTTTAAAGAAATAGGGAATTAATCCATTCTGTAGGTAAGATGGGAATGATGTGGACCCTAATGGTCTAAAGAACTCTCTACCTACAGGAAAAGAAAACCCATGTAAACCTCCAACTCCTGAATTATAATCTGAAATTCCCAGGTGTAAAACGCCGCATCCCCTAAACCCACTGAACCAGGAATCCACGCCCAAAACCCTCACCATATGCGCCATGCGCTACCGAGTATCACCCACCATCGACTTGCACTTGAGCACAACCTTCCAGACCTAGTGAGAAAAGAACTGACGAATGCTTCGGGCGCGCTTCGCAAATGAGGACTCCTTCTGCTGATCGGGTTTGTTGGCAGGCGCCGGAGGGGCCGGAGTCCCAACACTCTTAGCGGTCTCAGTGGTCTCAGTGGTCTCAGCGGTCTCGGTGATAGCTGGCACCGGAGTTTCAGGCAAGGTGGGAAGGACCCCCGGCGAGCTGTTTGAACGCTTCGATCTCAGAAGTCTCTTGCTCATGGAGCGTGAAAGATTCTTGACGACCCCAGGATGCTCCGCCTTCGCAGCGCGTTCAAGTTCCTCAATCGCGGCCTTCATAGTAGTACCGCCAGTGGCCAGGTTCTCTTCCTTAATCGGCACATATCGCACCACGCCGCGGTTGTCAGGGATGGCCAGGACGTCGCGCATCTCTGACTGGAGCATGGCAGTAGTGTGGACATTGGTCAGCGGCGCAAACATGGAAGCCAGTGCCGAGACGGTGATCAAGTACGCTGGGTCAGGCACGCCCCCGAAGCGAATACCCGCATCGGGCTCGAGAGTAACGAGGATGGAGTTTTCAGGACGCTGAAAAATCTCCGCCAGGCGCGCAGAGAGGACCGAGAGAAGCTCCATCCTCTGATGGGGTTTCACCTACACGTTACAAGTTAGCACATATTGCTCTTGAAAGAAGAAAGTCCTCGAGATGCTTTTGTCAACATACCAGGACATCAACCTTGATTTCGACGATAATCACAGCCTCCATGTTAACACGGTTGCGAGGGCTGTTATACGGCTCACGGACCGCGAAGGCATCCTCGAAATATTGGCTTCTCTTCTGATATTCCTCGCGTTTAGCAGGATCAGCCGGTTCTCCGTGCAGGTATCCGAAGACGGGATCTTCGGGAGTGATCTCGCGGATGATATCGTCGTCTGCCTGCTTGCTTTGAGAGGACGACATTTTCGATCAGAACAACAACAGACGCGTCTGATGGTTGTACCCCCGGTCTAATGATCAAGGGAGAGCTTCAAAGCCCACACTGCAGGTATTTTGCTGTTGGACTGCGACTTGTCACGGTTCCTTTGCACTCCTTTCGAAACGTGAGAAGGTGCAAGGTAGTGGCAGGTCAGAAAGAGGAAGAACTTGAAGCTTGCAACTTGTCAAGTTCTGGGGAGGGGTGCTCATCATTTGAGTGAAATTTTTTTTGTCGCCACATAATATTGCATGCAGGATTATGCGCACAGGGTTATGCGCGTAAAAGGGTGCAGTTCATGGAGGGCTCGGCCTTCGTCAGGTGAATATCGTGCCATTGCAAGGGTACACTACGAATCTGTAGAGCATCAGGGGCAAACATGCAGTTCTAAAGAGGCACTGTTGAAATCATCAAAATTGAGATATGTTAAGAGTCAAGAAGGACAGTATGAAAGAAGAAAAGGACTAGGGAAAAGGAGGTATAAAAGGAATAACATCTTTTGTGATGATTATCACAGAAATTGATGCAGTACGCAATGGAAGATGACTGTGACAATAAATGACCAGCTTGTATATTTTACATTCATGCGTCATTATAATCTGTATGATATTAGCTTCAGTCTCTAAAATGGAAAATGGAAGAAACATAAGTATTATATTGAAGACAAGAGCATTTGCATAAGGATGAGCATATCAGTAGATCGCTTGTGTTTTTCTCAGTCGGGTGTATGTATGTATGTATTCCACATCTAGAGTAGAAAATTCCTTTAGAAAAATATAAAAAAAAAAGACGTGAAGTATAAAAGATGTTAATAGGGTTGAGGATGAACTAATTTATCATCCGGGATGGGATATGATTACATCATCGTTCCTTAGCCTCACTAACCGATCCTACTAGGGCTAATTCTCCTCCTGCCCCGCCAACTCATGCGTGCAGATAAGCTATCAGCCCCGGTTTATCATTCACTTAGCCAATTTGCCTATCTTATCTTTCAAGGTCTAATTATCTTGATCCAGTTTTCTGTAGTCGGTTTTTATAGAACTCCCTAGTACCATCGTATTTTTTATCCAAGTAGACATTATACATACATCAACTCAATCCTGCAAATTATCAGCATACAATGCACGGCATTTCTCTGTTTCTAACATCTTGCCTGGTCACTTCAGGCACCATCACCGCCGCCCGGGAAATCATCTTCCCTCCCGTTGTAGGCCGTGCCGAGACTTTGTATCCAAGGCCCTACGATGGCCAAGCTCCGATCCAGCCACTACAGACATCACTGTCATCGCATGCCGCCCAACCTGACGAGGACGATGTGTCTCTCGAAACAGACGCGATCGGAGGATTGGCCTCCTTCGCGCATCTCCCCTACGTCCCGTGTTTCTCCTCCCTGGCAGACGACCAGATTGACCGCTATGACATCGCGATCCTGGGAGCCCCGTTCGACACGGCCACGTCGTATCGTCCTGGCGCGCGCTTCGGGCCTCATGGCATCCGTGACGGATCACGGCGAATTCGCGGCTATCACTCGTGGAATGTATATACTGGCCAGAATCCATTCTCGGAGTGGGCTAAGATCGTCGATTGTGGAGATGCACCCCTGACATTTTTTGATAATACTGTGGCCTTGAAGCAACTGGGAAAGGCGCACAAAGTAAGACCCCTCCAAATACGTTGACATTTCACATGCTGTCAGCAGAGTATCACGTTTTGTATCATATCCATATGTCTATTGGCTTTGACGGACCACCGTGCCGTCTTGCAGCATAGCCTTGCACACGTTGTTAGATTCCGTCTGACAGTTTTCGGCTAGATCATCTCGGGGCGTCAGGCAAGTAACGTGTCTGTTTCGAAAGTTCCTCGCATCTTAATGCTGGGTGGCGATCACACGACGACTCTTGCTGCGCTTCGTTCTACCATCGATCATTGGGGGGTGGTCAATGTCATTCATTTTGACTCTCATATCGACACTTGGAATCCCAATAGGATTGGTGAGTTTTCTTGAAAGGAAAGACTTGGCCCGTTGCAATCACTGATTGAAGGACATGGCCAGGCGGAGGAGTGTCTGAATATGCGTAAGTCTTTCATACTATTCATCAGTTGGTGACGGCTTTCCGAGAAAACCGGCAATAATAAGCTTTTATCTAATCACCTTTCAGTGCCGTGAACCATGGTACCTTTCTTCATATTGCGCATGAAGAAGGCCTTATCTCGAACGACAGCTCTATCCATGTGGGCATCCGCGCACCGTTGTCGTCGCGTCGGTACGACCTCGCAAATGACGCACAATGCGGGTTCGATATTATCACAGCGCGAGATATCGACGACATTGGCGTCAAGGGCATTATCAAGCGAATCAAGGAACGGGTTGGTGATGGAAAAGTCTATATCTCGGTTGACATCGACGTTCTGGATCCTGCTTTTGCGCCAGCGACAGGGACTGCTGAGCCCGGTGGCTGGACCACGCGCGAACTTCTGTCCATCATTGACGGCCTATCTGGCTTGAAGGTCGTCGGTGCTGACGTGGTTGAGGTGGCTCCTGCGTACGACAACACTGGAGAGACAACATGCATTGCCGCCGCGGAGGTGGCAAGAAGTTTGCTCACATTAATGGTAGATGTCCCAGTTGCAGCCCAGGACACGTGAGAGAAGGGGTCACGGGTTCAATCGACTGGTGGAATTGACTGCAACATCAAACGTAACACAGAAAGCTGGCATGGCAAGAGACGAACAATTATGCAGCTGGGTCCTATATGGTCTCATGAAAATAAAGATCTTCTGGCATTCATCCAGGATTAGACTATCAGGCCTTGAGCATCCATGCAGAGGGGTCATGATGACTTCTTGACTGGGTCCTCGAAATTATAAGTAGCATAACATGGGAGATCCTGATATCCATGTTCATGGTATATCAAGTAAAAAGCCCTTGATGATCCAAGCAGCTCAATTTTTACAATAGGAAAGCTAGAGATAGCCTTCCGTTTTATATAAAGAAATGCGCGTTGGGCATTACCCTTTGAATTTTTTTCAAAGAAAAAAACAGAGATATCCAAATCTGCAGTACTGACAGTGAGGCCTGAAAGGAAAAGAATGAAAAACGAGATGGATGACAGAAAACTATGCCTGGATTTGGCTTGTAGTACTCCGTATGTGCTGCTCAAATTGAGTGTACACGGAGAAAGTGCTCTTCCGGAGACCGGAGCCTCATGGGACGATCAACCAGTAGTTTGTGGAACCGCAAAGTTCCTGCGATTTGGATAGATCCAGGATCGGCAGGCATTATTGCCGTACAGTCGGGACATATCTGTAGTAGATTGGCTATCTGCTGGTAAAATGACGACAATCGTCCTGCATTTTCGTGGACCTCTGACCATTGACCATTCCTTCTTGCAAAACCCCGTCGATCATGTTGCTGCTGAACCCGCGATGTCCGTCAAGTGCGCAAGGGGCCTGTTGTAATCAAATGGTCCCATCCGTCTTTGAAACATGCGTGGACTGGATGAAGCGGTCACTCTGAAACGCAGTCAGATGAGTCGAAGACTCGAAATGGATTCCTATCCTCAGTTCTGCTAATTAATTAATTTCGCAGTGCCCCTACGGTACACCTCGCCGTGACCTCGGCCTGGCATTACTACTTAGGGAATACCAAAAGAAGATCGTCCCGTGAATTGCAATACAAACCAATAGAAATCGAACATAATAATTTACAGTTAGCGAGCCTCCAGGTCCAGACCACAATTTTGTTCTTCTGGTTTGCAATTGAGCCGAATCAACCAATGGGTTTAGTGCGTTCAGATTTTGATCTGGACCAGGCTGGCCAGTGTCAATCATAACGCTTTTCGTGCGAGTGACCCGTGATTAAGTTGAGGCCGCCCAAGTCTTAATTTTTAAATCCACCGAGGCAGAAGCTTGGTTGCGGTCCGTGAGACTGGGAGACGGAGGGAGACGGAGGAATACGGAGGACGGCGAACTGCGCTCACCGCTCAGGGGCCTGCTGCCGTTGCACTCTGTTGCACATGAATACTGCAGATGGACTGCAGAATCCATTTTCTGCGGCCCTCGTTGAATTGGGAACCATGGACGAGCTTCCATTCGCGCAAAGCACTCCAACAAGATCTTGTTATCACATCCCGATCGGAGTTGGATTCAATCATAGTAGAATGATGAACAAGTTCCTGGGCCAGGAAGGACTCCGGATGAGCAACATCAGCTGTTCCTGGGGTCCTCTGCGTGGGAGCCGATGCAGGCAGTTGATGGTGGGATGCGACTATTGGCGACGCCGGCGGATCCTACTGGCGTGACTGGCCCCGCGCCGCCGAACCCCTGGCGCTAAGCCGTCTCGGGTCGCTCTTTCCCTGCAAGCGCGGTGCCGGCGCATGCCAAGACTGCCAAGATCGCGCCTTCCCCGGCGGCCACCCAATCGCCAGCGCCCGGCGCCTGCTCTGTCGGGCAACTCCAAAGCAATCTCCTGGGGCACAGCAAGAGCTGCCTGCGAGTGGACATCCCCCACCTGCAAGGTGTTCGCGCGAGTCTCCACCGTCTGTCCAGCAGCCTTACTCCTACGCCCTGCTCGATACGGCAGTCAGCCTTCTTTTCTCGCGCTGGCGCGATGCCCGGTCTCGCTGTCAATGGTTCCCCGGACCGGGCTTTTTCTGTCAGGGCCACCCTCCACCGCTGGGGCCGTTCCCCTTCTCTTTTTTCTCTCGGGGATCTTGTTTCTCTTGTCGTTCGTTTGACTTACGTTCGCTAGTTGTTGTTTACGTTCTGACCCCAGTCCTTCTTTTTCTATCAGCTTCGTTCCTGTCCGGATCCATTAGTCCTGCGATCCCCTAAATTTTGGAGTAAAGGCGTGACTTGGGTACTCGTGTTAAGCTGAGGGAAAAGTCTGCTACGATTGTTTGACGATGAAGTCGAGAACAATGGCATCGCGCGCTGCGGCGCTCTTAGGGCTCATTGCAATGGTTGAGGCTGCCCGTCATGGCCACGGCCACGGCCACCATCACCAGAGACACCACTCGGTGGCCGAAGCTGGTGCGTCGCTTGAGAAGAGGGGAGGGCAATGCCAGTTCCCAACCGACGCGGGCTTGGTGGCAATTACTCCTGACCAGCAAAACGCTGGATGGGCGATGAGTCCGAATCAGCCTTGTCTCCCGGGCCATTATTGCCCGTATGCATGCCCACCTGGGCAGGTATCCATGCAGTGGGATCCGAAAGCCACTTCATATACCTATCCGCAGTCCATGGTATGTGCAGTCCTGCGTAGCACTCTTGGAGCCCTTGTGCAAAACGCCGTGTCTGACTGACCCACAGAACGGTGGCCTCTATTGCGACGAGAACGGAGAAATCCAGAAGCCGTTCCCTGATAAACCCTACTGTCAGGATGGAACAGGTACCGTGGTGGCTATTAACAAAGCCGGC